GTGCAGCCGGCGCCGTGAGCTCGGAGTCGGCAACCCCGGTGCCTCATTGGCGTCCGGCTTCGCTCCTGGCGTAGCGGGAGACACAGCTGCGCCGCCGGCCACCGCTGGTGTCGCAGGCTCGTGCGGCGGCTGGTCCGATCCCGTCGGCGCCTCTCGTATCTTTTTCGAACTCCTTCGCGAGCGCCATCATGTTGGCCGCCCACTCAGCCATCGCATACGTGAGGCGGGCTTGGTTCGTCATCGTCGTTCGGGTCGCCCTCGTCACACGGCGGCGCCCCATCAGTCGCGTCCCCCGGGGAAGCGGGAGCCTCCATTCCCGATGGAGGTATCACGTCCGCATAGCTGCTGTCGGCCGACGAGGCCGCTGGCAAGTTCTTCTTCTTCTTCGCAACTTTCTTTGACATATCGGCGTAGTTCTTTCAATCACTTCTAACACCAGTTGTAGGACTCGTACTCTCGTTGTCTTTCTCGTCTCGTTTATTCATGCGTAGAGTTCACGCCTCCTCATCATCGCTCCGTGTCTCTCCGTTCGCTCCGATGCACAACTCGCCATTAACAACACTCCATGTCTCCCCGTTTCTACCGTACACTGTATCCTCTCTATCCACTACTACCGTACACTGCGTTCTCTCTATCCACTTCTACCGTACACTGTGTTCTCTCTATCTACTCTACCGTACACTGTGTTCTCTCTATCCTTATCGTACCTATCCCTGCTCACTGCTGCTCCGTCTCTCTCCCGGGCACCAACCGCTCCAGCTCCAATCCCAACCAAGACTCTCGTCTCTCCGTTACGCTGTGCCCTATATCCCCACACCAATCAGTCCCAATCAATTACTCCATCCCCCGCTTTGCTACACGCCCCCAGGCCCCCAGCCTCACGTGACCATGTTATTGCCGCCAGGCCGGCGTCGGTCATTAACCACTCACCCTCCTGACCAATCACCAGCCTGCGTCCTTAGTCACCCCTAACACCTGTCGCGTCTCTTAATGCCACGACAACAACAACCGTGTCCTCAGATGCCCCCCACTGTACGTTGCTCGCTTGCATAGCAACAGAACGCGTGGCGCATGATTTCAAGTCCTACACATGTATCATTTACTAAGTATATGCGAAAGTCAAGTAGTTATTTACCTCACTATGGTATTCCTTATTATCCTGTGTTTTCATTGTGTATTTAAACCAATCAAGACCAGTTTGTGACCTAACTGGCTTTGGTCTAGGTAGTTTTTCAGTAATAATGCCCATTACATCGTTCCAGATGCCTGTCATAGGGTATGGGTATAAAAGTCATGGTAACTACAACTAAGCTGCCACTCCGCAGAGGTTATCATATCAGAATATGGCCCACACACATGGAGGATTACAAATATCATTACTAGACTTTGCCACCTCAGGTGGTACCAATACGTAATTTTTTTGGTCTGGGCTCATGGACTATAGTGCAGAGTCCACTGGTCATACATTTGAAGTGTAGGCCAGGCGAAACAGGTGAGTCGTTAGGGAAGACCGAAACAAGGGGATTGACCTCGCTGTCTCACCACAGGTGGCAAGGCGTTCCATCGTCTTGGCGCAGCGCATGCAAAGGCCCGATCACCCCAGGTGCAGAGTCTAGCTTTCGACACGTGGAGCAGATATAATGAGCGGATCGTAGAGGTCATGACGGCACGTGCGAGTGAATCAGCTGTGGAATGTAAAATGGTGCAAGGCCATTTAAGGCCCTTGTATGTTAGCAGCAACACGTAAAATTGGACCCTACATTTTTATCGGAAGCCAATGCAGAGATGTTATTATAGGGGTATAATGTTATTAGAGGGGTATAATGTTATTATAGGGGTATAATGTTATTATAGGGGTATAATGTTATTATAGGGGTATAATGTGCTCGCGGAATGAGGTTCGCGTGAGCATCCTGGCGGCCGCATTCTGGACCAACTGCAGTCGGCCCAAGACCTTGGTTATAACCGCGAGTAACAGAGCGTTGCCAAAAATGATAATACGAGAGATAATTATCTATATAATTACAGTATCTATATAATTCTCTATAGACTAGCCTTTTACCCGTCCAAGAACGGGTGTATTGCAGTAAATCTGATACTTGCAAGCGAAAAGCAGACCGCGTCGTGATATTCATTGCATCCATTCGTGTGCAATTTGTAAGGGCGCGGTGACACAGACTTATTTAATTTTAAGGTTATAATCCCTTGTTCATCATGACGTCCTTTTTACTTTTATGTCTCAATAGCGTTACGGAGATCGCGTGACTTGAGGGTTCTGCCTTTGTAGTGAGGGTTGTAAGTTGACGCCGAGGAGGGGGGAGGAGGCGCCTCGCCCCCCCCATGTGGAGTGACGTCACCCGCTAATTATTATTAATGAGGGGGGTGTCCATTTGGAGGACGTCACCTGTTCATGATTATTAATGAGGGGGGCTGTTCGATGTAGAGTGATGTCACGCGCGTTACACGCTGACATTCTTGGGTAAATATATAGAAATGTGTGCATTGAAGGAGATATACAATCTATAGATATATAATTATCAATACGAGAGAAGACAAGGGGGTGTGCACTCGTCGTTCTAGGTCAGTAGGTGACAGAATGTGGCGTAAGCAGGCAATGTTTCTAAGGTGGAAGAAGGAGATTTGGACCACGTTGGAAATGTGTGCATTGAAGGAGAGCAAATAGTTAAACACAACGTCAGGGTTATTAACCACTTTCACGGGACAAGTGGCTACATTGTCAATGTCCAGTTTAAACGCCTCATAGGAAACCAAATGTTTTGGAGATCCGTTGAGTAAAATATTGATTTTGGTTATGTTGAGTTGCAGGTAGTTCTGATTCAGCCATAACTTTATTTATGATAGTGAGGTGGTGAGTTTTAGGTCAGCTGTAGTGGATTTGGGAGGGAGATGGAATATCTCTGTGTATCGTCTGTGTAGCAATGATACGTTGGTCCAAGATGCTTGATGAGTGAACCCAAAGATGTTAAATATATATTAAAAAGTAGGGGTCCAAGGACAGAGGCCTGCGGGACACCATACAGAACTGGATCGACGGTTGATGTGAAGCCATTTTGCGAAACATTGGGTTCTGGTTGTTAAAAAGGTGTGAAGCCAAATCAGTGCTGAAATTCCCATCAAAGTTTCAAGACGATGGAGAAGAATTCCATGACCGATTGAGTCAAATGCAGCGCTAAGATCGAGAAAGACGAGTGCACCAGTCCCTTGTCAGCCAACTGAAGGAGGTCATTCACGACCAGAAACAAATGCTGTTTCCGTACTGTGGTCCGCTCGGAAGGCTGATTGAAAATGGTCCAGAAGGTCTTTGGATGTCAAATGAGCGGTTATGCGGTGCTCTACAGCACGTTCAAGGACTTTTGAAAGAAATGAGAGATTGAAGATGGGGCGAAGGTTGGAGAGATCACCCCGATCTAAGCCAGGATTTTTTGGAAAAGGTGTGAGAGCAGATGTTGTGAAACTGGTTGGAATGATGCCCGTGTTGAGAGACTGGTTAAAAATGCTGAGAACGAAGGGGATAATTGGCAGGAAGTTGTCTCGGAGGAGTCTGCTGGAAAGGGATCAGGTGGGCAGAGAGTGGGGTGGGAGTCTTCAATAAGATGAATGAGTTCAGTGTTGGTGATGGAAGTAAAAACTGACAATGGAGAGCCTGTAAACCTAGAAGAGGATGCAACCAGCAGTAGGGGAATTGATGGCAAAGAGTGTGTGTGTGTGGGAGCGAATGGTGTAGATTTTCTTCGTAAAGAACCTTTGAATGGAGTTACAAATGGCAGTGGATGAGGGGGGGGGGGGTTAGGTAATTTTTTCTTACTAAAAGCTGGTGGACAGTGGAAAACAAGGTCCTGGGGTTGTTGTTAGTTAGTGGCAGGCGACCGGCTAACTAGGTGGATTTGGACAATTTAACCAACGTGTGAAATAATGTTGAGTTGGTCCTTATAGATTTGGTAGTGCACTTCGAGGCTAGTCTTCCTCCACTTACACTGACCTTCGGGGGAGATTTATTTTCTCCCTTAGTTCAGCGGAGTACCAAGGGGAGGGCAGTAGAGCAGTGGTTGTGCGTGTTCGTAGTGGAGATAGTTGGTTGAGAATGTTGTGTAGTGTTGAATTGTATAATTCGACACCCTCTTCGGCTGGGAGGTCCACCTCCTGAGTGAGGGGAGTACTGGATAAAAACTGTTTGAGCACAGCAGGGGAAATAGACGGAATGAGTAGCTGTTTTGTGGAGGAGGAGCAGGGCGGGGTAGATCAAGATCAAGACAGATTAGATTGCAATCGGAAATGGCAGCATTGGTAACAGAGAAGGTGGTGGTTGGGAAGCCGTGAGAACACACCAAGTCCAGAGTGTGTCCTCCTCAATGGGTGGGTCCTTGAACATGTTGGGTGAAGTCGAAGGGACTTAAGATAGATTGAAGTTCTGATTCGACTGGTGAGTCGACATCAACACGTATATTGAAGTCGCCTATGAGGAGATTCCATTCCGATTAAGGAGAGAATCTCGGCTAGATTTGGTAGGGATGCAGGATTTGGTTTGGATGGACGATAAACTATCACTAGAGTGCCACCACGAGGCCCTGCTCCCCCCACACCACGAGACACGCGGGGCACGCAGCACAGCTGGTCAACAGATGCGGGCCACCTTGTTGCCCCCTACCAACACGGCACGCATATTTATCGATCGGCCTCTGCTCGAAAAAAGAACATGTTACTCGTTTTGTAAACAGATGGGTCTCAATTCAAAATTTTCGTTATTGCAAATTGTCGTAGAAAGAACGCTCGTATGTCTGTTATCTTCTTTCGCACAGTATGTAGCCTGTACACCATGCACTCCACACGGTTATACTATACACAGGGGTAGACTAAACAACACACAGGTACACCGTATACTACATACGGTTACACGATATACTAATAGACTAGAGAAATACACTACGCATGATGCGTGTGTCCAAACAGCTCACTGTGCACTCTGTTTCTGCAATCGCCAGTACCAGACTCGGAGGAGTCTCACCGAGGGTCGTGATCATCTAGGAGCTGTTGCCCTCGTGCTGAGAGACAGTGTGGCCTGGGATACTCGGCCACGTCGCCTCTGCTCTACGACACCAGACGGATTACTCACCCCCCATGGTGCAGCTCCTAGGTACTCCATCATCCACAAATTGCCCTCCGTGATCCATCCTCATTGATTTGTCATCCATTCTCCATGGTTCTCCATCCATGCTCAGTCCTCTATGATTCGCCATCCATCTGTCATTCACATCCTTTCTCCATTGCTGTGATGGTTCTGTATGCCTGTGTGCAGATTTTCAATGTGTCATTATAAGGACTTCTCTGGCATTGTTTAAGGAAGTCACTCCAGATAAGCTGATGTCCACGATCATGGAAAATGTTTTGTAGCACCAAATATATTAACCCATCGTGGCAACCGAGATGGGATGAGTCCCCGTGACTCCCGTGCGCTGGAGGTGCTGACCTCGTGCCCACATTTCTCACTCTGTGCCCTCCACCTGCCATCTGCCACTCTCTTCCCGATGCTCAGCAGTTATCTGAGACGTGGATGTAAGCCTGGGCTACTCAGGGTCATGATGCTTTCCTGGGGACCCTCGCCACCGACGGGCTCTACCCGGGCCACTCGGACGATCATGGCCAGGCTTTCGGATTGAGCCACACCAGGCTGGAGGGGGCGACCGCTGCGCGTGGATGGATGACATTTCCTGCATGGGGACGCGCAGATGCCTGGTGTGGAGGTGGTGCCGAGCTACACAGGCCGTGCGCGCTGCGCTGGACCCGGGAGACGGCTTCGGCTGTGCCGAGCTCGAGGGCCTCTTCCAGGACTACAACCTGCGACTGGATCAGACGGGGACGCGCAAGGCCCTAGCGTTGCTGGCTCTCGCCACGGCCGCCGTGGCCATCTTGGAGCTGAGCTCCACGCCGACGGTGGCGGCGGCCGCCTTCTCGAGCTCTGTGCTCGGCGCCGCGTTCCTCTTACTCTGGGCACTCGTCAAGACGAGGAGGCAGCTGCATCGGTCGCAGCTGCGGTGCGTCGTGACATTCGCCCTGCTCCTCGGGTTCGCCTTCACACTTTCGTGCTGCCCGTTCCCGCGGCAGGGAGAGGCTCGGGTGCGCGCGTGGCAGGGCGCATGGCAGGGCGCACTCGTCTCGTTCGTGACGCTCACGCTGCTGCCCGCGCACTCGCGCCTCGTGCTGCTCGGAGGGATCGCAATGGCGGTGGTCTACCTGGTGGTGATCGCGTGGACCGCAGCCTCCTTGTCGGTGATCGCTTGGCCCAAGGTAGCTGGCTGTAGTCAATTGCATGAAACGAGTTAAATACAATTTTTGCACTTCATCCAATATAACTGTTGCTAGCTGACCGTGCAATATCAATTTCAAATACCATTGACGGGCCACACATTGCAGTTGCCATAAATCACGTGAGGACCGTTTGTGTTGATTGCTCAGGACAAACTGAAAAATAAAAGGTGACTGAACGATTTAAAATTAGAAACACAGAGTTCCTAGGTCGAACTATGTCCCTGTAGTACCAGATTACTCTGGCTAAGATGCTTGCAGTGACCGAGAAATATTGTTTGCCGGCTGTTTTGACACGTTAGTTCTCATGTGCTATGGGCCGTATGAAATTAACTCATGGGCCGCATGGACCATAGGTTCCCAGGCCCTGTTTTATTGCTTTTAAATTGCACGCTAATTGTAATTCACTTAAATCAATGTTTAAAACACCTATGTCATTCGCGAACTTGTACCGTACTTAACTTTTTTTTTGCCCAAATTGTATATTGAGCCAGAATTGGCAGCATTTTGAACATCCTGAGCGGCGATCGTTTAATATTTAATGTAACTTTTGTTGTGTATTCACTTCATAGTTTTGCTAGTGTGGAGCTAAATTGTTTGTGGAAATACATCTACTTTTCCAGACATTAATGATGCGCTTCAGAATATATTGAATGGGATTCCAAGCATTTGAGTGCATACTAATGATTATAATAAAAACAAAGACATTAATTTGGATAAAATAAATACTATTCCCACTGTGTACATCAACTCGATATCAAAGGCACTGAAAATTCATATCCATTATGCAACATCTCAATTGTGTCTCCTGAGCTCAGGCTTTATATACATATGTATAATTCATGGATAACTGCTTGTTCCTCAGTAGTTTTAATTGGTTGATTATGTATTGTGGACACTGAACCGCATACTTCTCTTTCCTGCCTTTATTCCCTCCGGTCTACGGCGTCGCGGTGTGCTACTCACCTGGCACACATCTACATTCAACACCCCGACTGTGACCTTACACGACCCTCGCCCCCGTTCTCTGTCTCTCCCTGCACGCACGCACGCACTTGTTCACGCGCGTGCACGTGAACAGCTGCTGGTGAACGCGGTGCTGCTGGTGAGCGTGTGCGCCTGCGGCGGAGCCGTGCGCATCTTCACGGAGCGCGTGCAGCGCAGCACGTTCCGGCGCACGTGGGAGAGCGTCCGACAGCGGCTCCTGCTCGATGATGAGAACGAGAAACAGGCTGGTCTCATGAATACCGCACCCGCACTGTACACCGTGATCCCACCGTACACCGCACTCCCACGCACACCGCACAGCGCACCATTGCACTTGCACCGTACACCGCACTCACGCCGCACCACCGGACTCGCGCCGGTCTCCCGCATACCGGACTCGCAGTTGTCTTGCGCACAGCAGACTCGCAATAGCCTCACACATATTTGCCTCACGCATTACTTAGCGTTCCCACTCTTACACCAATCTCACACTGGTCTCATATGCACACACACAGTTCTCACGCTGGCCATCCACACACCGTTATTATTCTCATTATTAATTTGTCTGCTGTATCCTTGCTTCGCATTGCCCTCACACCGACCTCAGCCTGTCGCGCACCCGTCTCGCGCACAGGTCACACGCTGGTTTCACGACGCAACACGCTCAGGCCCACTTGGCACCATTCTAGAGAAATCCAAGTGGCTTCGTGCATCTGTTTTGCGCTTAGTTTGTTGTCCCCCACTTCCCCGCCCGCACCTCCGTTGAGCACGGTTGGCTACGTATGGTGCGAAAGAAGTTCAACATACATTTAAATGTAAATTCCATTTAAATATTTTTAGCAGGTTGGTTGGTCCTGCATGTGTGCTTCACCCTTGCGCAGTATATACTCACCCAATTGGAATTCTGGCGCAATTGCTAGGGGCAGGGTCATAATTTAGAAAGTTGTTACGTGGAGGTTTTGGGTGGACGTCGGGTTCATGTTTGTTTAACAAATAATTCCCCCGTGAAGAAAATTGCGTGGTGGCTTTAGGTGGATAATCCCCTGTCAGGCCGCTGAGCCAGCACGGTGGAGATCAAGGGCTCCTCCTACTACCAGGCCGCCTCGTCGGTGTGCAACAGCTTATCCTGCTGTTGGGAGTGTGGTGGTCTCGCCCAGTGAACCCAGCCACGACGAAACAACACCAGCGGAATTGCACAGCAGATGATTTAAAGTAGGAATCGTCGCCTCCGGTCACGGTTAAGCCACTGCTGGATGAAATCCTCTACATCCCCCGAGCTGCCCCAATCTCTCACAATCTTGCGATGTCATGAAATGCAAAGATCCCCCGTGTAACCTGAACGAACTCTCGGATCAAGTGCTGTGAGCGGGCAGCTGTGAAGGCCGCAAGAGTCTGTTAAGGGGAGCGCCTGCGCGCGACCTGTTTTCATCGCTCCGTTTCCTCGGTGGACGTCCTCGTGAAAATAACGGCACGCGTTTTCCTTTCACTGTCACTGAGACGATCTCGATGATTTGGTCAGCTGACCATCACAACTTATTGATCTCAATGAACTGGTCCAAGAGCACATTCACTGGGCAGATGGAGCGATAACATTTCCTCGTGTGCACGTGCTCATATGGTGGTTTATTACAGAGCAGGAGCGTGAGAGCTGGTAGCGTGCTTGTAGAGTCCTTCATTCAGCAGTGGATTGACTTGACCAAGGCTGATGATCATGGTGTTGACAAAGATAGCCTTAGATGTACTGGGGGGTGTGGGGTGTCGGGGTTGATGCTGCCGATGAGGAGCCAATCAGCAGAGGCTGGTGGGCTTTGGCCTGTTTAGCGGAGTTGACACTCGCTGAAGCGAATTGAGTCCTCATGTTAAAGAAAACAAGCCTCGTGGACTTCGCCCAGATTAGCTCGGGGACAGGAAAGCGGCACACGTCAACTCGTTGTTGCCCATGACTCGTTTCACACAGCCAGAGCGGCGCCCTCTCGTGGTCAGCACGAGAGGGACCGAGTGAAGCGGCGCTGGGGCCATTCTGTGCCAACTCTCAACCTCTGCGTTGCTCACCAGCACAAGGCTCTGTGTCGTCTCTGAAGGGATCGGTGCATAAACCACCATCACGCGAACTCCGGGTCATCCTCGCAGCAGCAGCGGCTTTTGGCTGCGGCCATCGAACAAAGACGGCGGGAACCGCATCGCGTGGCGCTTTCAGATGCGCTTCTGCAGCCGTCTGGAATGCTCTTCCTTTCGAATTAGGAAGTCGCTGGAGCTATGCACTTTTAAATATAGATTGAAAACTCATTTCTTTAGAACTGCTTTTTGTGTTTAGTTTGTTGTCCTTCCGCACCTCCGATTAGCAAGGTTGGCTATGTACGGTGCAAAAGAAGTTAAACATACATGCATATGGTGCTGGTCGTGGGAATATACATTAATGTGGGAACATCGGATAAACTATTCCCAGAAAAATCAAAGCAAAGACGACCAGTAACAAAGAACACCAAGTCTCCGTACTCGTACCACCCCTTGCTAACCTACTGCGAGATGAGCCGCCCCCCCCCCCCATCCCATTCCGTGGGGGTTGTGGGGATTTATTTGCTCGTACTTCTCCACTCTGGTCAGCGCGGGTTGACGAAGGTGGGCCAGTGCAGATGTGGGAGCGAAGACTTGGGGGCAAAGACAGCATTACAGACATCGCCACACGCGACCCTCTGTGGGGAAACTTGTAGCCCCACGGCCTATCACACCTTCCCGTGCATAGCTGGTGGCCCATTCAATTCAAGAACTATGCAGGCGAAACCCTGCTTGGCTTCCTAGATCGTACAAGATCGGGTGATTTGAGATGTGTCTGCGTAACTCGTGAGGCTGATGTGCAGCAGTTCATTTTGGTTTGCTCGTCAGGCTCTTGCTGATGAAGGTTTTGTGTTGGCCGTCAACGTTGGTTTTGTCGTGTGATTCAAACAACAACAAAAACCGACTTGCCGAAAAGCTGAGCGCATGAACGGCCATGCGTGTACAGTCACCAGGGTGGCCACCTCCTCCGCTCAGTGGTGGAAATGGGCCTGAAGGCCCCCGGGGCGCCGTGGCAGGAGTGAAAATGTGACCCCTGTGACTGCGTTCCAGAAGGAATCGAGGGCTCATCTATTTATTTATTTCTTATAAAGTTCCCACGCGGGAGTGTGAACTCTCCTGTGTTCTGACTGAACTGCCCTGGCCACGTCTCTGTATCAGCCAGCCAATAGAAGACCTAGACATTGGTTTAATTACTACACAGTATATATACACAGTATCTACTTATTGTTGTTGTTAATTCTTAAAATATCATGACAAAGGCATGGCTTTTCTCGATACAGTATGTGCCCTATAATGGGCGTCACTCAACCTTTGGTATAAAAAATGGCCTCGATGGGCTTGCCACATAAGCGTCCCCAGAGTGATTCTGTCCCACTTCCACCCTTGCATATGCTGACAAAACTCCAGCACACCTCTTGGGAAGAAGAATATCTCCCAAAAAGAGGGGAGAGTGGCGTGTGACCTGTTGTCTTGCGTCGTGTGTTACTATACAACTGACAAAAAACCGGGAGTTTTAATTTCCCGGGAAGATTTTCATATTTCACAGGGACATCAGCTACCTTCAGCAGTCGTTCCCATCGTCTCATTTCCCTGCCGCTTGTGACCTTGACCAATGAAAGAAACGCGTTTCGCATTCTTGCCTCTTACGACTCTTGGCAGTGCTGCTTGTTGCTGGCCACGTGGCCTTTTGGGCCTTTGAGCATGTGCTCTGCAACTGCGTGTGTGTTTATTTTTGTATATATACGTGGCTAACCCTTGGCAGTATCCGCCGCTCGGAGCGAAGGTCGCGCACGCTGCGGCGAGCGTGACGTGGACTTGTCCTGCCTTGTCCTGACAGGAGCGGCTGCTGGTGAGTCTGCTGCCGCGCCACGTTGCCATCGAGCTGCGACAGGACTTCCTGAAGCCGCCCAACCACATCTTCCACAAGGTGTACATCCAGCGCCACGAGAACGTCAGGTGAAGACCTCCCAAACCCTGCCAGGCTCTGGATGTTCCGACTACCCCTGAAGCTTCCAGGAAATAGACATTTTCTGAACTTTATATAAAAACGAAAAAGCCTGAAAGGTGCCAATTTGTAACGCGCACAGTTTACTTCGATTCAAAAGGTGCAAGCAAAACCGCAGGCGAGTGGGAAGGCAGCCAGGGGCAGCGACAACAATTGCCTGAGCTCTGTGGCCCTACATTGGGATGTTTGGCCAGCTCTGTTGAGTGATTATACACGTGGGAGAAAATCCATACATGCGAGGCGGTGGTACAGAACCACATGAAAAAAAAAGTAGCATACGGAGCGTTTTCATAAATGAGACTTTAATAATAATAAATTTGGACACAATTGTGCTCCAATTTAACACATCAGTGGCAGGACACGAAATGTATGAGAAAATAATGGAATGTTCCCTCCACGCCAAGTTTTCTAACCGCCGCGACCGTTTTGTGGCGAGGCAGTCCCTGGCTCCCTCCACTCTTTTCTAGAGAGTAACCCAAGCCAGAGTCCACAGTATCGCGTGCATTCATGCCGCAGAAATGATGCCTCCCTCACAACATCCCCGCTAACTTTATGCTGATCAAGGTGGCTGCCCGCAGCCGTTCTCAAATAATATATTTGACGGTATTGCAACCGTCGTGGAAAACGGATGGTTCTATTCGACTGTCCCACAGTGCCACCTGGTGACTATTAATGTACCAATGCCATTATTGATCCCATTGCCTTGTTTTGTTTTACGTTGTCGCCCGCGTGCACGCGCGTGCGTGCGTCCTTCCTCCTCAGCATCCTGTTTGCGGACATAGTGGGCTTCACCGGGATGGCGTCGCAGTGCACGGCGCAGGAGCTCGTCAAGCTGCTCAACGAGCTGTTTAGCAAGTTCGACGAGCTCGCCACGGTAATTAACCTCACGAGCTCGGAGGACGAACCTGTCACCTCAGCTGCTCCCTTCCAGCGTGTTCCTTTGTCGCGGTCGGACGTCATCACCCTGTGACCCTCCTCAACTGTCAAATCAATAAACACAAACGGCAATTTCAGCAGCACGGGTGCACATTTAAAGTGCAGCCTTTGTGGACAAGAAGAAGGTTCGAGATGAGTGAGTGCTCGCACGATGCTCGGGGGGGGGGGCGGTGGGGCAGTGGTGTTGGCTCTGCACTCAGAACCTAGTAACCTGAGTTCCGTTACCGGCCATGACAAACATTACTGGCGAGTGACATCTGAACTGGCCTTGTTGCCCCCATTCAACAGTCCACACTTACCAGTGTGGGGAAGTATGGTCAAGCAACCTCCACGACTGACACGGTGTGTATAATCCTTCATCCGTAAGTGGATTATTTTTCCAATGCTACTTGCATCGGAAAAACACTGCCCACCAGTTCATCTTGAAACTAGTTGCATAACTCACAGCCGGCGACTTGAGCGCGCCCAACTGCGATCACTCGAATCGGTTGAGAGTGAGGACGTGAATTCAAATGTTCATCCCGACGTTTAACCAGGCTTGGGTTAGCGATTGATCTGGGGACTCTGCCGTGGTGGCCGCGTCGCGGTCCCTTTGCAGGAGAACCACTGCCGCAGGATAAAGATCCTGGGCGACTGCTACTACTGCGTGTCCGGACTCGCCCTGGCCAAGACGGACCACGCGCACTGCTGCGTCAAGATGGGCCTCGACATGATCGACACCATCGAGTGGGTCTTTCGTTGACCATGCCAACCGGCGTCGGCAAGCGTGCGGTAGGGCCGGCGGCGGCGTCGCTGTTCGAGCCTGGCGAATGACCTTGGTTAATACTGCGTGCGCACTGCGATCAATACTCCTTTACTCACTGTGCTGCAAGGTGGCCAGGATAGGGCAGTACAGCAAGTGGGTTTGTGAAGTAATCTGTGGTGGACGAGACCCGTTGAGTGTTATCCCCCTTCTGTGTGCAAGTTTTCTCCAGGTACTCTGATATCCTCCCAGTACTCTGATATCCCTCCCAGGTGAATCCAAACACTTGTTAATAGATTATTTGGTTCTTTCGGTTAAGTCACGTCTAAAGATAAAATAATAAATTAAATTAAATAATAGCATACGACGTTTCGATTGTAACACAAGCAATCATCATCAGGTATAATGAAATAGCGACATAAAATCTAACCAGAAAACTATAGACAGACATATTAGCAGACAGATATCACCAAGATACATAGAGGGAGCAACACAGGAACCAGAGAGGGGTGATCATCTCTGTGGGGTGGCCTTAAATAGACAGAGGGGGGAGGAGGCAGAGAGAGGGAGGGGGTTAGAGAAAACATTTGCATATCAATGAGTGGTCCAAAAACAAGGTTCTGCAAGTGCGATGACACGGCAAGCAAGTCTTAGTTTGTCCTTCTGATTTTCAGACTTGCTTGCCGTGTCATCGCACTTGCAGAACCTTGTTTTTGGACCACTCATTGATATGCAAATGTTTTCTCTAACCCCCTCCCTCTCTCTGCCTCCTCCCCCCTCTGTCTATTTAAGGCCACCCCACAGAGATGATCACCCCTCTCTGGTTCCTGTGTTGCTCCCTCTATGTATCTTGGTGATATCTGTCTGCTAATATGTCTGTCTATAGTTTTCTGGTTAGATTTTATGTCGCTATTTCATTATACCTGATGATGATTGCTTGTGTTGCAATCGAAACGTCGTATGCTATTATTTAATTTAATTTATTATTTTATCTTTAGACGTGACTTAACCGAAAGAACCAAATAATCATTTACTACAGTCACGAAAGTTCTAAAATTAACTTGTTAATAGAGTTGGCCAAACATCCCAATGTAGGACCCTCTTGCAAATAGTATTGAGACTCAGAGATACTTTCACGTATAACATAAACCACAGTATTATTATTTTATTATTTATCTTCTACGTGACTTTACCGAAAGAACCAAGAATATGAATCCCTATAGTCACGAAAGCTTTAAATAAAAAAAAATAAACCACAGTGTTATTCTTGTATGGCATCACCACACGGCATTGTGGGGAAGCTGCAGAGATGAGTTTCTTATTGGGTACATACGATTTTATTGGATAAAAAAAAACAATAACGGAGTTGGGTTGTGATGAAATCTGGTTTTAAGATTTAAAATTAATTATTACAAAATGTGCTTAGATCTCTACGCAAATGAGGGACTGGCAGCTTGCGTTATTTTTGGTTCTAGATCCATGTGTCTGTACCAGTGATGATGGTGGTTAGGGTTTTGAGTCATGATATTGACTAGTTCGTTCAGGATTTTATTGTGGAATTCGTTGTCTTCCTTTGAAGTGTAACTTGTAAAAACAAACTTTCTTATTGTTTGTTCTTCTCTTTTAAAATATGAAAAATATTTGTACAACTTCGTAACTTTACCAGAAAATAGTTTTCGGGGACCATTTACGATGGAGGGTCTCACAACCGTAGCGGGAGTTAAGCAATCGACAGGATGAAGCAATTTAATGGTTCAACAATAGAAAAAAAAGAACAGGATAAAAATGAATGAATTGATACCACAAAAATCTGCAAAAATATACTTGTGAAAACCACACATTTTGTATAAAGTGAAACAAAACAAAGAACTGGGCACTCTGTGTCTCGTTGGGCCACGTATTTCCATGAAAGCCCTTTAATGGGTGAAACTCCATCTGTTTGGCTGTGGCACTGCATGGCTTCTTAACCACGTGGCATCCGAAGCCAGATGCCGTGGGTCCTGGTTTGTCAGATAAATTATGAGGCACGGGAGTGGTTTCATTTGCCCCTCCGCTATCGCTCTGCCCGAGTGCCAACAGGCTCAACCTCACAACGCGCACTCAAACAGGATCGTCATGTGAAATTCAAGTCATGGATCTGTGCCGTTTATATAAGCCTGCCGTGTTTGTGCGTGGACACACATACACACACAAATATCGGCGGCATGTGGATATTCCCTGGGTCGACTTGGCACGAATCGACCACCCCGTGTGTAAACATCAGCATCGGGAAGACGAGGTCGGCCGAGCATGGCACTGGTCTCACCACACTGCCTTTGGCACCGTCCCACGCTAAGTAGGTGCTCACAAGCAATACTTGCCCCTAATGGGTCTGTATGAATACAAGGTTGATAATTGTTGTGTGTATTCATCTATGTGTGTGTGTGTGTGTCTGGGCAGCCTGGTAGCGGAGGCCATGGAGGTCAGGTTGAACATGCGTGTGGGGCTGCACACGGGTCGCGTGCTGTGTGGCGTGCTGGGCCTGCGCAAGTGGCAGTACGACGTGTGGTCCCACGACGTAACACTCGCCAATGCCATGGAGGCGGGTGGCCTACCAGGGTGAGTGGAACCACGTGGCCGTGTGGTTTCGACGAACCTGCCAAAAAAAAAAAGGAGCCTGGCGATCGTGATCCAAAATGCCCTGGTTTTCATTATCATTGCAGACATGTGGACATCATCTGACTTTTACGAGAAACTGAGAGAGAGCATAGGCTTTGCCAATTTTAAGTTGTTGAAAAGTGATGCTACCGAAACAAACGGAGGTCCACGTGACTTGCCAATGCAATTGAGGTGGTCAAAATGAGACCACAACGTTGGTAGTTTGGACCACACAGATGCAGATTAAGGTAGCGCCAGGGCTATACTTCTGCTGGGTCTGTCTGGGTCAAGCAAATCAAATAACATTCGTGCACCCAGAAAAACCACATCCAGTATACCTTCGCTGTGGCTGTGGCTACTCATCACGTGTTACCCCACCAGTCTATTGTCAATTAGCGATGCTGATAACACGATGTAACACAAATTTTGTTCCTAATTGCTTATGCCAAAAAAATATAGAAAATGGCTATTATTCCCCACAAACTTTGCTTTTGTGACCAGGATAGTGATATTTTGAAATGTACCTATTTTCAATGAGAAAACGGGCGAATTTGTGTCCTTTCATTCACATAAAGTCAGAAAAAAAAACCATATGAATCAAAATTAACATGCATTTATACTAAAGTAATACAAAATTACTACAAAAGATTTAGAAGTGAGTAGTTTTTCGAGATTTACGATTATACTGTAAATCACTTTCACGAATCAGCCCCCAAATGTAGTGTGCCATTATGTTCTCGTTATACTGTCCTTGGTAGCGGCATTCAAAGTCCAGTATATCCTGGTGGAAGTGCTCGCCTTGCTCCTCCGAGTACGCTCCCATGTTCTCCTTGAATTTATCAAGATTAGCATCAAGGATATGGACTTTGAGGGACATCCTACAGACCATTGTGCCGTAGTTATTCAGCAGTCTCAACCAGTTCCACATAGTTTTCGACATTGTGATTGCCCAGGAAGCCACGAACCACTGCGACAAAGCTGCTCCAAGCTGCTTTCTCCTTACTAGTGAGCTTCTTGGGGAATTCATTGCACTCCAGGATCTTCTTTATCTGTGGTCCAACGAAGACACCGGCTTTAACTTTTGCCTCAGACAGCTTAGGGAAGAAGTCTTGAAGGTACTTGAAGACTGCCGACTCCTTATCTACAGCTCTGACAAATTGTTTCATAAGGCCCAATTTCTTGTGCAGTGGTGGCATCAGCACCTTCCGGGGGTCAACCAGTGGCTCCCACTTGACGTTGATCCTCCCCACAGAGAACTTGGTCCGCTGTGGCCAGTCCCGCCTGTGGCAGTGTGCCTTAGTGTCCCTGCTGTCCCAAAGGCAAAGATATTAGGGAAACTTGGTACAACTGCCTTGGCGACCCATCAGGAATGCCACCATTTTGAAGTCTGCGATGACCTCCCAGCCATACTCATCATACTTCAAGGCATCCAGCAAGGTCTTGATGCTATTGTAATCCTCTTTGAGGTGCACCGAGTGAGCCAGGGGAAGGGACGGGTACTTGTTACCATTATGGAGCAGCACGGCTTTGAGACTCCTGGATGAGCTGTCAATGATGAGGCGCCACTCATTCTGGTTACAGGCGATTCCAATGGCCTCGAACAGACTGGTCACATTGTGGCAGAAGCAGAGCCCATCTTGACTGGTGAAAAAGCTGCAAAAAGCTTGGTGACGCTTCCTCTGATCTGCGACTTGCTCAGCATTGGACTTGATGAGTCCAAGATCTCTGATCAAGTCGTTGAGGTATTTTTGGTTGGGGTAGTATGGGTTTCTCTCCGCAGCTCCACCTCTGAAATTGTCATCTGGATTTATAACGTCTTCTTCGCTCTCTGACTTGCTGCTCTCTTCTAAAGATGGCTACTCTTTCTCCGAAGGAGTGGGTACGGGGAGCTCATGGCAGTGTGGCACCGGGGCAATGGATGAAGGAAGGTCCGGATACGTGATAGCAGGTGCATTCTTGCCAGTCCGACGTTTGGAAGGGTCCACCATGCAGAAGTAGCATTTGCTTGAGTGGTCAGTGGATTCCCGCCAAATTCTTGGGATAAGCGAACTTCATGGTTTTCTTTTCCCCTCTGTATCATCCTACAAAAATACATTTATCTCACCCATGACTAATGTGTAAGAGATTAAATCTTGACTTGAAGCTTTCGTGACTGCAGGAATTCATATTCTTTGGGTCTTTAGGTAAAGTCACGTAGATAGGTTCAAAACATAATTTAAAAAAACTGAGAACTATGACGTTTCGATTGCAACACAAGCGATCGTCATCAGGTGAAAAAAGGGGGGTAAATCCACTAAAAGCAAGCTGTTTTAAAGGTTTAAAATGGGCAAAGTCCAAGTTTCCTGGTATGAGAACGAAGTGGGCGGGGTACAAGTGCCCTGTGGCCAGCACAAGCTGAGATGGTTATGTAAATGTCAGATCGGAGAGCAAGAAAACGGTAGACGCATGAACTGTGAAGAAATTAACAACTTGTGATACGCCCAACTAACATAGGAAGGTGACAAGATGGAAACATCACAGCCAGTTATGACTTAAACTGGTTGATGACGTCCTTCCAGTGATTGCTGAGTGTGTACCCATCCTCGCGGTTGAAATTGTGTTTGTGTCTGTATATATGGATGGCTTCATGAAAAAATCTTTGTTGATAGCCAGTGGGCTTGCAAAGTACCTTCGTCTTAGAGAAATCAATTTCGCGTGAGCCAACCGCAATTAACAATTATCAGCCACGGCTGAAGTGTTCTTCCTGCCGTGTTTCAGATCTGCCTTATGCTCACGAACACAGTAATCATTGGAAGGACGTCATCGACCAGTTTAAGTCATAACTGGCTGTGATATTTCCATCTACTCACTTCTAAATCTTTTCTAGTCATTTTTGTATTACTTTAGTATAAATACATGTACATTTTTATTCGTATGTTGTTTTTTTCTGACTTCATGTGAACGAAAGATACAAATTCGCCCGTTTTCTCATTGAAAATAGGTACATTTCTAAATATCATTGTCCTGGTTACAAAAGAAAAGTTTATGGGGAATAATAGCCATTTTCTGTACTTTTGAGGCATAAGCAATTAGGAAATAACACTACCTAGGAAAAAAAAAATTGTGACACAGTGTGATATAACGTAACAAATGTAATCCCTTTGTTCCTGTGCCTGAAAACGGTGGGCAGCACTTGGCACGCGCGCGATGCAACGGTTGCTCCACGTGATGTCTGTGTATCCTTCCAGTAAGGTGCACATTACGAAGGCCACCCTCGATGGCCTGAGGGGCGACTATGAGGTGGAGCCAGGCCACGGGCAGGAGAGGCACTGCTACTTGCGCAAGAACAACGTTGAGACGTTTTTCATCGTCCCGTCCCAGCGCAGCAAGGTTAGTGGGTGCAGTGCTATGAACTATTCATGATTTATATACTCGAGCAGAAAAAAAGGTCTATATTTGCTCCGTGTGCAACTATTGATTTGGCAGTTACGCGGCGTGTCGGTCTTTATAGGCATTTCAAATTTAATTCGCTTCTTTCTCTGCGTGTACAAGATGGGAAAAAAACATCACGAGAACCTCTGTTGACCCAGGCCTTTCAAAGGGATGAGCTGACAAACGTGCAGCTGGCAAAAAAGATGCGTTTCAAGACGGTCTGCTCCGTCATGGTGCAGCTCATTCATTCCCGCAAGGTGTTCGGCGCAGAGGTCCCATTCTCCGACATCATGGGCCGCGACGATAACAGGGTAACACGTCACCTCCGACTCTGTTTCAACACTCGGCGACGCACGACACCAATCCGTGCAAGGCAGCGTTCATCCATCGCTTCGGCGGTCGTTTTTTGGCACCATTTCTCGTTTTTTATTCCTTCGCCTGACGGCGACATCTGCAGCCCTCCGGCGCTTCACACACTGGCTCATTGGTGCTGTGCCCGGCGGCGTCTCCGCTTTCAGGGCCATACATTGCGCGTCTCCTCCCAGGGACCGCGGGGCCATTTGGGGTTCTCCTCCTCGTCCCTGCTGCAGCAAGCTGACCCGAGCTCGCGCGTCAACCGCTACGTCCGGCGACTCATCGAAGCTCGCAGCAGCGAGCGCCCTGCCGCTGACCTGCGGCCGCTGTCCCTCCGCTACAAGCAGGCTGGCCATGAACGACAGGCAGGCGGCCCTCGATCTGCTTCGCGCGGCGGCCACGCACTGCGGCCACATACGCATTCAACGAAATCGCAGTCAAGGAGTGCCGTCGTCCTGTTTGCTGGATTTTTCTGGGTTGATGCAGGAAGGGAAACAAACTAAAGAGGTCAAGAGACAGGCTGCATCGGCGTTGATCCATAAATTTTACGTTGCAGACGAAAGTAGAATATGTACTGAATTTGAGATATTGTGTTTCGCTGTTGTGTTGTTGGATGTTTGTTGCAGTACCACCAGGAGCCAGACGCCCACTTCCATAGTGCGGTGCTTGTCTACCTCATTACCGACGTTGCCCTGGGCCTTGTGTACTACTTCCTTCTCCCTCTGTAAGTGCCGCAATCATAAGCAAATTTGACAGATGATTGAAATGAAACGATGTGCTGGCTTTGAGTAAAACTCTGTACTCGGACAACTGAAATGTTGTCAGGTGAGCAGACAGCTGTTTGCTGGTGTTCTCAGTGTGTGTGCTGGTGCCCCTTGTGTGTGTGTGCTGGTGTTCTCAGTGTGTGTGTGTGTGCTGGTGTTCTCAGTGTGTGTGTGTGCTGGTGTTCTCAGTGTGTGTGTGTGCTGGTGTTCTCAGTGTGTGTGTGTGCTGGTGTTCTCAGTGTGTGTGTGTGTGTGCTGGTGTTCTCAGTGTGTGTGTGTGCTGGTGTTCTCAGTGTGTGTGTGTGCTGGTGTTCTCAGTGTGTGTGTGTGCTGGTGTTCTCAGTGTGTGTGTGCTGTGCTCGTGTTCTCAGTGTGTGTGTGCTGGTGTTCTCAGTGTGTGTGTGCTGGTGTTCTCAGTGTGTGTGTGTGTGCTCGTGTTCTCAGTGTGTGTGTGCTGGTGTTCTCAGTGTGTGTGTGTGTGTGCTGGTGTTCTCAGTGTGTGTGTGTGCTGGTGTTCTCAGTGTGTGTGTGTGCTGGTGTTCTCAGTGTGTGTGTGTGCTGGTGTTCTCAGTGTGTGTGTGTGCTGGTGTTCTCAGTGTGTGTGTGTGCTGGTGTTCTCAGTGTGTGTGTGCTGGTGTTCTCAGTGTGTGTGTGTGCTGGTGTTCTCAGTGTGTGTGTGTGCTGGTGTTCTCAGTGTGTGTGTGTGCTGGTGTTCTCAGTGTGTGTGTGTGTTGGTGTTCTCAGTGTGTGTGTGTGTGTGTGCTGGTGTCCTCTGTGTGTGTGTATGCTGGTGTTCTCAGTGTGTGTGTGTGCTGGGGTGCTCAATGTGTGTGTGCTGGTGTTCTCAGTGTGTGTGTGTGTGCTGGTGTTCTCAGTGTGTGTGTGTGCTGGTGTTCTCAGTGTGTGTGTGTGTGCTGGTGTTCTCAGTGTGTGTGTGTGTTGGTGTTCTCTGTGTGTGTGTGTGCTGGTGTCCTCTGTGTGTGTGTATGCTGGTGTTCTCAGTGTGTGTGTGTGCTGGGGTGCTCAATGTGTGTGTGCTGGGGTGCTCAATGTGTGTGTGCTGGTGTTCTCAGTGTGTGTGTGTGTGTGTGCTGGTGTTCTCAGTGTGTGTGTGCTGTGCTCGTGTTCTCAGTGTGTGTGTGCTGGTGTTCTCAGTGTGTGTGTGTGTGCTGGTGTTCTCAGTGTGTGTGTGCTGGTGTTCTCAGTGTGTGTGCGTGTGCTGGTGTTCTCAGTGTGTGTGTGCGTGCTGGTGTTCTCAGTGTGTGTGTGCTGGTGTTCTCAGTGTGTGTGTGTGCTGGGGTGCTCAATGTGTGTGTGCTGGTGTTCTCAGTGTGTGTGTGTGTGCTGGTGTTCTCAGTGTGTGTGTGCTGTGCTCGTGTTCTCAGTGTGTGTGTGCTGGTGTTCTTAGTGTGTGTGTGTGTGCTGGTGTTCTCAGTGTGTGTGTGTGCGTGCTGGTGTTCTCAGTGTGTGTGTGCTGGTGTTCTCAGTGTGTGTGCGTGTGCTGGTGTTCTCAGTGTGTGTGCGTGTGCTGGTGTTCTCAGTGTGTGTGTGCGTGCTGGTGTTCTCAGTGTGTGTGTGCTGGTGTTCTCAGTGTGTGTGTGCTGGTGTTCTCAGTGTGTGTGTGCTGGTGTTCTCAGTGTGTGTGTGTGCTGGTGTTCTCAGTGTGTGTGTGTGCTGGTGTTCTCAGTGTGTGTGTGCTGGTGTTCTCAGTGTGTGTGTGTGCTGGTGTTCTCAGTGTGTGTGTGCTGGTGTTCTCTGTGTGTGTGTGTGCTGGTGTTCTCAGTGTGTGTGTGTGCTGGTGTTCTCAGTGTGTGTGTGTGCTGGTGTTCTCAGTGTGTGTGTGCTGGTGTTCTCAGTGTGTGTGTGCTGGTGTTCTCAGTGTGTGTGTGTGCTGGTGTTCTCAGTGTGTGTGTGTGCTGGTGTTCTCAGTGTGTGTGTGCTGGTGTTCTCAGTGTGTGTGTGCTGGTGTTCTCAGTGTGTGTGTGCTGGTGTTCTCAGTGTGTGTGTGTGCTGGTGTTCTCAGTGTGTGTGTGTGCTGGTGTTCTCAGTGTGTGTGTGTGCTGGTGTTCTCAGTGTGTGTGTGTGCTGGTGTTCTCAGTGTGTGTGTGTGCTGGTGTTCTCAGTGTGTGTGTGTGCTGGTGTTCTCAGTGTGTGTGTGTGCTGGTGTTCTCAGTGTGTGTGTGTGCTGGTGTTCTCAGTGTGTGTGTGCTGGTGTTCTCAGTGTGTGTGTGCTGGTGTTCTCAGTGTGTGTGTGCTGGTGTTCTAAGTGTGTGTGTGCTGGTGTTCTCAGTGTGTGTGTGCTGGTGTTCTCAGTGTGTGTGTGCTGGTGTTCTCAGTGTGTGTGTGTGCTGGTGTTCTCAGTGTGTGTGTGCTGGTGTTCTCAGTGTGTGTGTGCTGGTGTTCTCAGTGTGTGTGTGTGCTGGTGTTCTCAGTGTGTGTGTGCTGGTGTTCTCAGTGTGTGTGTGTGCTGGTGTTCTCAGTGTGTGTGTGTGCTGGTGTTCTCAGTGTGTGTGTGTGCTGGTGTTCTCAGTGTGTGTGTGCTGGTGTTCTCAGTGTGTGCGTGTGCTGGTGTTCTCAGTGTGTGTGTGCTGGTGTTCTCAGTGTGTGTGTGCTGTTCTTCTCAGTGTGTGTGTATGTGTTGGTGTTCTCAGTGTGTGTGTGTGTGCTGGTGTCCTCAGTGTGTGTGTGTGTGCTGGTGTTCTCAGTGTGTGTGTGTGTGCTGGTGTTCTCAGTGTGTGTGTGCTGGTGTTTTCAGTGTGTGTGTGCTGGTGTTTTCAGTGTGTGTGTGTGTGCTCGTGTTCTCAGTGTGTGCGTGCTGGTGTTCTCAGTGTGTGTGTGTGCTCGTGTTCTCAGTGTGTGTGTGTGTGCTCGTGTTCTCAGTGTGTGTGTGCGTGCTGGTGTTCTCAGTGTGTGTGTGTGTGCTGGTGTTCTCAGTGTGTGTGTGTGTGCTCGTGTTCTCAGTGTGTGCGTGCTGGTGTTCTCAGTGTGTGTGTGTGCTCGTGTTCTCAGTGTGTGTGTGCTGGTGTTCTCAGTGTGTGTGTGTGCTCGTGTTCTCAGTGTGTGTGTGCTGGTGTTCTCAGTGTGTGTGTGTGCTCGTGTTCTCAGTGTGTGCGTGCTGGTGTTCTCAGTGTGTGTGTGTGCTCGTGTTCTCAGTGTGTGTGTGCTGGTGTTCTCAGTGTGTGTGTGTGTGTGCTGGTGTTCTCAGTGTGTGTGTGCGTGCTGGTGTTCTCAGTGTGTGTGTGAGCTGGTGTTCTCAGTGTGTGTGTGTGTGCTGGTGTTCTCAGTGTGTGTGTGTGTGTGCTGGTGTTCTCAGTGTGTGTGTGTGTGTGTTGGTGTTCTCAGTGTGTGTGTGTGTGTGTGTTGGTGTTCTCAGTGTGTGTGTGTGTGCTGGTGTTCTCAGTATGTGTGTGTGCTGGTGTTCTCAGTGTGTGCGTGCTGGTGTTCTCAGTGTGTGTGTGTGCTCGTGTTCTCAGTGTGTGTGTGCTGGTGTTCTCAGTGTGTGTGTGTGTGTGCTGGTGTTCTCAGTGTGTGTGTGCGTGCTGGTGTTCTCAGTGTGTGTGTGTGTGCTGGTGTTCTCAGTGTGTGTGTGTGTGTGCTGGTGTTCTCAGTGTGTGTGTGTGTGTGTTGGTGTTCTCAGTGTGTGTGTGTGTGTGTGTGCTGGTGTTCTCAGTATGTGTGTATGCTGGTGTTCTCAGTGTGTGTGTGTGTATGCTGGTGTTCTCAGTGTGTGTGTGCTGGTGTTCTCAGTGTGTGTGTGTGTGCTGGTGTTCTTAGTATGTGTTTTGTGGACGAGTGGTTGCCTTAACCACAGGTTGATGTGATGCTCCTAGTGCAGCAATCTTGATGAGGTTTGGTGCATGCCCGCTTGCTTGCTTGCCTGCCCGCTGCTTTGTTTGCATGCTTGCTTGATATATTTTGCTACCCACATTATCAAATGCTGCCGCTGGCAAACCATCATGGTGAACCAGGAAGTCAAGTGCGTAAGTCATCCTTGCCAGTACAGACCACTCTCCATCATCACGACTCGACTGTGCATCCGCATTGGCAGCCCACGGTAACTGGTGTCTCCTGACACCAGGCCAAACCGGAGCTGCAGTGGTCCCCAGAGGCATCTACAACTTGCCAACCACTGCCCCACTACCTTGTGGATAAACTTTGGCTAGGGTAGAAAACCCTGACTCCAAACCTGTGGTGGGGACCCGCAACGGCGGTATTCAACAAACCGGATCTCCGGCAGTCCCCTGCAGTTCTGGCCAGGTGAAGGTCGTCGTGAGTTCCTCATGCCACCGGAGTCTGTCTGGCTGGAGTGAAGGTGATGGGCATAGGGACTACACACCCCTACCCTCACCTTAATCAACTCCCTGCGCAGGCTTCTTGCTCCAACCACTCTCGTTCAGAACAAACACCAAGCCCACAAAGCCTTCCTGTCCAACCCAGACTCCCCCACTCTCCAATACTCTCTCTCCCAGGTTAAAGCAGAGTCCCAGCGTGCTCTCCGTGCCATCGAGGACACCTGGTGGGTTCAAAAGGCAAATGAGATCCAAAGCCTCATGGACACAAACAACACCCATTAAAGCCCTTTATGGCCCTCAAAAACAAACCATCACGCCAGTCAGGTCTGCTGATGGCAACACGCTTTTCAAGGACCACCAAAAGATCTTGGAGAGATGGGTGGAGCACTTTGATAACCTCCTCAACCACACCAACGCCACAGACCCGCTCATGCTTGACACACTCCCAGATATCCCGCCCATTCATGAACCCGACACCCCACCATAGTCTTCTGTTAGCAGGTAGTCAAAGGCCTGAAAAACAACAAAAGTGCTGGACCCGACGTCATCCCAGCTGAGATCCTGAAGCACGGGGGATACCTCCTCCTTCGCCGCTTGCACCTTCTTATCAATGCTACCTGGCTGTCCGAAATCAACCCATAGGAATGGAAGGATGCAAATATTGTAGTTATCTACAAGAAGAAGGGCGACAAATCGGCTTGCGGCAACAGCAGAGGTATCTCCCTCCTTTAAGTCGCTGGGAAGGTCCAAGCCAGGATAATGCTCATCCGGCTTGCAGAGCACCTATCCAAAACATCCTCCCAGAATCCCAGTGCGGCTTCAGGAAAGGCAGGAGCACCACCGACGTGATTTTTGTGGCAAAGCAACTGCAGGAAAAATGCCGGGAGCAAAACAAAGACCTCTTCGTAGCTTGTATCGACCTCACCAAAGCATTCGACACCATCATCCGCGAGATACTCTGGCAGCAGCTCACCAAACTTGGGGTGCCTCCCAAGTTTGAGCATTCTAAAACAGTTCCGTGAAGGAATGCGTGCCAGAGCGGTGCTTGGTGGGCTTCAATCAGAGCCCTTCAAACGTGGACGTTGGGGTCATGCAAGGCTGTGTTCTGGCTCCAGTCATATTCAACATGCTCCTTGCTGCTGTCACAAGCCTGGCACACAACTCCCTCAACTCAATCGCCGGGATCCAGCTACAGTACCGTCTGGATAGAAATCTCTTCAAGACGCCTCCAAGCCCACACAAAAACGAGAACCCAACAGATCTTTGAGTTGCAATGTGCAGATGGCTGTGCACTCCTGGCTTACACCCAGAATCCATGCAACACGCCCTCAATCTGGTCCCCTCCTTCTACCACCGCTCCGTCGGTCTCCAAGTCAACACCCAGAAGATAGAAATCATTGCTCAACTCTCATCTGCATCCCCCTCACTCCCTACGTTCAACCTCGGTGGTATTCACCTCAAACTGGTACCCCATTTCACCAACCTCGGTTCTGCCCTCTCCCCTACGTGCTCCCTTGGCGACGAAGTCCACACTCTCATCAATAGAGTCTCCACTTTCTTTGGACGCCTCTGGGCCAGGGTCTACGGAACGATAACCTCAAGACCCACCTCAAGGTGGCAGTTTACAGCGCCGTTTGTGTCTCCACCCTGCTTTACAGCTTAGAGAGCTGGACTCTATATAGGAGGCACATCAACATCCTGGAAGCCTTCCGCATCAGATGCCTCCAGCGCATCCTCGGGCTGACCTGAGGGTACAAAGTAACCCACGCCGAGATCCTCAGCAACACCAAGTCGCCCTGCACTGAGGCGAGCATGGCTAAACGACACCTCCGCTGGCTCGGCCACGTGATCCGCACGCCTGATCACCGCCTCCCCCGTCGAGTTCTCTACGGCCAAATCAGCACAGCCAAACGCTCCGATGGAGGACAGAAAAAGCGTTTCAAGGACCACGGCAAGGACCTGCTGAAGTGCTGTAACATCAATCCCTCCAGCCTGGAGCCCCTGGCGCTGGATAGTTCCACCTGGCAGTCCACCTGTGCCAGAGGCATTCAGCACCTGGAAGACGCCATCTCACAAAGCACATACGAGAGACACACCCAGAGACACCAACGTGCAGCTGGGATAACACCGTCCGACACCCAACATACACGTGTACCAGCTGCAGTAGAGTGTGCGGCTCTCGCATTGGCCTCCACAGCCACATGAAGTGGCACGGGCGCCAAAAGCACTAACCCATCCCTAACCCCCATCCACAAGAGGAGCAGCGCCATCATCGTAGTCGATGGACAGCCAAGAAGATATATATGTGCTCGTGTTCTCAGTGTGTGTGTTCGTGCTGGTGTTCTCAGTGTGTGTGTGCTGGTGTTCTCATTGTGTGTGTGTGCTGGTGTTCTCTGTCTGTGTGTGCTCGTGTTCTCAGTGTGTGTGTGCTCGTGTTCTCAGTGTGTGTGCTGGTGTTCTCAGTGTGTGTGTGTGTGCTGGTGTTCTCAGTGTGTGTGTGCTCGTGTTCTCAGTGTGTGTGTGTGCTGGTGTTCTCAGTGTGTGTGTGCTGGTGTTCTCAGTGTGTGTGTGTGCTGGTGTTCTCAGTGTGTGTGTGTGCTGGTGCTTCTTGCAGGACTAGGCTGGTGTCCACTCTGTTGTCACTCTCAGTTCTTCTTCTCATTGGCTGCCTTGTTTGCCTTCGCATCACCTACATGAAGGTAAAATCGCAGCAATGGTTGCAGTCAAAGCGCCGAGTTAGAAGTTCCTACATCTGCAACTCTGTTTATTGAATACGCTCAGTACACATTCATGCAATGCCCACATTTTTTTTGGGATGTGAGACTTAATTATCCATAAACACATCTGTGCATGTCCCGCCCCATAGACAAGTACAAATGTAACGGTGCAGTCTGTCTCTCTCGTCCTTTCTTTCTTGTCGTCTTCTTTCATGTGCAACGTCAAGAGTTCTCTCAAAGTAGTGCCACTCGCGTTGCCAAATGTAGCTCAGTCGCCACGCTCACAGTGGGTAAGTAGCTGGCTGCTCCAGCGCTTCTCGCCACTTGATAGTTTTTGTGCGGACAAGTCGCGTCGAGTTGAATCTTCGTGGAAATGTGCTCAGAGCGTGCTGTTTCTTTCACGATTATAAAATGAGCCATTATGGCAGGGGTAGCGGAACCTTCTCCTTACGGAGGGTCCAGAGAGAACTTGGAAATCAGTTTGGCAGGCCACACGAAACTTTAATAGTCGTAGAACCGTACGCATTGACCCTGTGTGCGCTCAGAACTACTTGTGAGACAGCCAATGACTTAATCCACTTAAATTAGAAACGCAGTGTTGTTGCCAGCTCAGACATATTTCCCTATGGCCCAATCATTAAGGCTCAGAAGCTTCCAGCGACAAAAACCCATATCGTTCTTGGGCCGCTTCAAACGTCATAGGCCTCCTGTGACTGACCGCGGTGGGCCCTGCAAATTTGATGCCGCGTCCCGTGTCTGGTCCGTTAGCCGTGGGTTCCTCACCCTTGCATCGTGGAAACAATTTTATAATCGCGTTGCTCAATAAGGAAAAAAGGCCTGTGATTTGTATTCGTCTGGTGATATTCGATGGTTATTGCCGATGCGGCGACGCCCGCGTTGAGTTGTGCTCTCATGTCGTAGTGCCGCTCGGACTGCGCGACGGTGAATCTGCGGACGGCTATGGCTCTGTCTACTGCCGCCCTAGTCTACTCCGTGTCTCTCAGCTGCATGGTGAGCAGCTGTTCATCCCGCGAGCCGTGCCACTGCTGCCCCGCGCGGTGCGGCCCCGGGGCTGTGCAATCTCACCCGCTGCCACTTCCACCCGCTGTGCTTTACCACCCGCTTCGCTCTTCCACCCGCTACGCTCTCCCACCCGCTACGCACTCCCACCCGCTGCCACCAGCTGCGCCCTCTCACCCGATGCATCCTTTCCCTCATTACGTGCCGCTCACAGGCGATGAACGTGCCACTTCTGTGGCCCGGCGGCAACTCTACCGCCGCCAGCGGCGCATGGGTTGCTGGGACCATGGAGCGGGGCAAAGGCGAGGGTGCAGCAACCCCAGCAGGAGCAGTGGAGCGAGGAGCAGAGGAGAGAGGACACAGCCCCGGCCTGGCAGCGCTGGCGGGGACGGGGGACCCAGCCCAGTGTGCCCTGCTGGGCTGCTGGAGCGCCATACTGCCACTGGCCCTGTTCTTGCACGTCCCATCCTTGCCAAAGCTGCTGGCGCTCGTCGCACTCACTGCTGCCAACATCTTGGTGCTTGAGTGCACTGGCTACCGCCATTTGCTTGGGTAGTTACCACACCGGATCGACCGTTACTGCCCATTGTGTTTACGCCATTTTCAAAGCCGGCACTCCCATTCCCGAAAGGTGGGGGGAAGTCAGCCGCTAACATTCTGTGCCTCTTCTCTCGTCACATCCACTATCTTCGTATCTCATTCCACCCCACCCTTTCCTCTAACCCTCGGTCTCCCTCTACTGCTTGCTTCTGCCCTTTGCCAGTAACATCAACATAGTTCCTCTAATGTACGATACGCTATGTGAGTGTCTGTGTGAGTCTACGCGTCTCAAATCTCCTTCTAAATTGGTCCCTTTACTCTCGAGAGCGTTCTGAGAAGGTTGATGTCTGTGTTTGGCCGCTCGTCCCGCCGAGGCCGGTCCCCCGCCAGTCTCACGCGTGGCGCTGCTGTGCGTGGTGCCGGGGCAGGCCGGGCCAGGCATATGGCGCGAGGGCGTTTGAGCCGGCACTGGCTTCCGTGCTGCTGGCGTGCACCGTGGGGCTACACGCGTACCGCCTCGACCTCGGCCTCCGTCTCGACTACCTCTGGTTTCTCCAGGTGCCTGCTGATCCTTCCCCGGTGCTCGTAGCTTTGTCGTTGAGATAACGGTAAAGGAATCACGATTTACGTCTCACGGCCGTGACCCTTCCCTAATCGGTTAATTCTGTAGCCACGATAGATGCATTGGCTGGGTTGGCCGCAGTGGCGCAAGAGATGCACAGATCACCGGCCGTCTGTCCTTTACAGTTACCTCGTGAAAAGTGGAACGTACGATCACGCCACACGTCCGCGTGCGTGTGAGGGGGCATTGGGAATAATGTTCTTGCATGCGAGTGAGTGTTGCTTCACCGTCATTTAATTTGCGTTGTGTTTCAAAGGCGGAAGAGGAGAGAATCGAAATGGAACGCATCAAAGACGACAACAAGAGGATCCTGTTTAACCTGCTGCCAGCGCACGTGGCCCAGCACTTCCTCAAGTCCAACCCCAGGAACATGGTCTCTCTCGCTCACCGCACCATCAGCAAAAGCTGCCACCAGGCAGAGGCTTCAGTGTCCTGTATCGCCCTATCCACCACAGGACAGCTGCTCGTTCTGACTGTGGAATGCCCTCCCGCCAGCGGTTTAGACAGAAAAGCCCACTCGACCTGTGCAGGTCTTCTTTTAAAGACTCGCCTGTTTCGCCTGCAGGCCTCCACTTCCCATGTATGACTTGTGAACTCTGTCGTATTTCTATTTCCTAACTTCGTGCATGGCGCACTACGATCCCTGGATGAATTTCGCCTTATAAATGTCAATTATTAATGATGTTACTACTCATCGTTTGGAGTTGTGGCTGTTGTGCAGATAAACGCTCCGGGATGGGTCGTGTGTTGTTCCACGTGATGTCCGACGTGTCTCTGAAGGAACTGATTGGAACATGCTCACTTTCTCAATTCCTGAAGATGCTCCCAGCATGTGGAGCGAAACGTCAGACTTTTGTGCCAAAACACCACGCGGTACAACCCCGAAGACATGCCGGTTGTTGTTGTCGTCCTACACACCAACAACCTACAACGGTTGCATGGACGTTACTTCCAATGAGTCCATAGCCTTTTTATAAGACTACCTATTTAGCACATTGCCAATCACCGGAGTAAAGTTGAATAAAATGACGTGCTCCCTATTGCTCTGGGCAATGGAGCATATTCGCAAAATTGCTTTCAATCGCCGAGAAAATATTATTTCCCCCCAACATGCTAATTAGTTTTGCGTCCGATGCTGTCTGCAGGACCTGTACCACCAGTCGTATGCCCAGGTTGGCGTGCTGTTCGCCTCCATCGCAAACTTCAATGACTTCTACATCGAGCTGGATGGAAACAACATGGGCGTGGAGTGTATGCGGCTTCTCAACGAGATAATCGCCGACTTTGATCAGGTGGCGCAGCTTTGAAATGCGGCATTACTCTCCTAATCTCGGAGCGGAGCATCCCCGCTAATTTTCTACCACGCAGTGAGAACACGTGGTCCCTTTGGCAGAAGCGAATGCAGGTTTGTTTATTTATTTTAAGAAACACATATATAATTCCAGAGGTGATGCGTGCTGTTTTTAGTAGCTGCTCGACAAGATTTGCTACAGCACCATTGAAAAGATTAAGACCATCGGAAGCACGTACATGGCTGCTGTGGGACTGGCTCCATCATCCGAGGCAAAGGTGACTCGAATAACTTGTTTATAGGTCTCATGTATCGACTTTTAAAAAGAGAACATTGTTAAGCAACTACCTTTTTATATAGCCTTTATCCCTGTGGTTTTTGTGATGCTTCGCAGAGCCAGGATCCTCACTTGAGCACTCTGGCCGATTTCGTAAGAGAAATGTTTGACGCCCTGGATGAATTCAATTACCAGTCCTATAATGACTTCATCCTCCGTGCCGGTAAGTGAAGGAAACCCTGCAGGCTTATGCAAAATGTGGTGCGACAGTTGCGAGTGTGCGTGCACGCACGCGTGGATTTCCGTGTGGCCGTTGCCAGCTCCTGTGCTAATGAAACTCGATCTGCTCAGGAATCAACGTTGGCCCCGTAGTGGCTGGAGTCATCGGTGCTCGCAGGCCCCAGTACGACATCTGGGGAAACACCGTGAACGTGGCGAGCCGCATGGAGAGCACGGGCGTACCGGGCAAGATCCAAGTGAGCAATTTTAGATTTTGAGATGGATTTCAGACTTTCTTCTTCTGCACTACACTCTGAAAATATAATTTTATAACCTTTTACAAAGCGTGCTGTCACGTGAGCCAATTTTTATTCTTGCTTATGTAATTGCCATGGGAATTAATCTTTTCTAAGAAGAGCACTTGACTGGAGTGCGAGGTCTGAATCGTGCTGGAACCCCTCCAGGTCACTGAAGACGTGTTCCGGAGCTTGCAGAGAAGGGGCTACGAGATGACACGCCGCGGGAAGGTGAGCGTGAAGGGAAAGGGGGAGATGGTGACCTACTTCTTAGAGCGATCGCAGAAGAGCAACGACAAGCCAGCTCACCACCACCAGCCGAGCTCCTGCACGGACAGGTCGACGGAAGTCCTCAAAGGGGTGTTGCGAACCCCCTGCAAGGACCGACGGCCGTTCATGCTTCCGCGCGCGGCGACCTCTGAACCCTGAGCAAGTACCTCGCTCGTCGACCCGTGGCCGACGAAGTCCCAACTGTAAAAGTGCTCGATGGACCCTACCGGGCGAAAATAATGCTGAGTGGCGGTCAGCTTTGCGGGCGCGACAACGAAACGTATTGACTCCTCGTTGAATGTTGTCTCTTGTTGCCTGGAATGTTACCATACGTGTTTTGAAGGCGTTCAAAAAATAAGCACAAATAAATAAATACGTATGTATTTTTGTTGTCACCGGAGCAGGTTAGAATTACGGCCTCCGAGTGGCGTCTGATGCGCGAGCAAGACGGCCGGTGGGAGCGCAGCTGCCGATTCGAGGGACGCGGCTTGCGGGGGTTGTAATTGGCAGCTGGTGAGCAGTTTGAAATGCCATGGAATGTTCCAAGTTCCCGCAGAGGCATTTTTGCTTTTCCAATCTCAATAATTTCCCTGCACGGACACAGCAGCGTACACAAATGTGCAATTAGTGACATTGGCCAATCGCACTTTTTTACGTGAAATTAAATTCGTGCAGCAACCCCCCCCCCCCCCCCCACATTTGCGGTGTGAGACCTGAGCACTTGTCTATGGCTCGGGTTGTCGTGACATGTCCAAGCAAGTCCAATAACTTTTTCTTTAGTTTTTATGTACATGCCAGTTGAGCAAGTGCCTTTGTCGTGTGACCGTAGTTGCCATGCTTACGATGGGTTGCACCGCATCCCGAACGTAATGACATTGTTCATCTCAAAATGATGACACCGTAGCGTCACAACATGGACATTATCAATGCCATGCCCTGTGTTTGGCAGTGTTCTCTTATGAGTTAAATATACACTCGGCAAATGTTTCCAATTATATCACAACCAAAGTCAACAAAAGCACGAACACGCATAATATATTTTGTATAAACATTGGAAGTTCAAATCACCGACCGTGAGGTAAAGTCACAAGAAGAGTGTTTCTATTTGTTCGAACCTAATTTATATTCGGGTGGCTTATGCCGAAAAATCTTTGTGAATGTTTTTCCTTTGAATATGGGACAACAATGGCATGGCCACGCTTCATAGCAATACATGTGTGTGGTTCTGGTACATATGTTGCGGTACGTACATCTTCGCTCTCCGTAAATCGGCAACGCGCCGCGTTGGGTGGGGGCGCTAGGCCGGGGCCCTGAAGGGCGGACGCGTCCGGAGGAGCGAGCATCCCTCTCTCCGATTGCCGCGTCGCCACCGCCGCTCGCCACGCCGAGGTCGCGGCGCTTTCGAGCGATTGTTTAAATTCAGCCGGGATGAACGGAGCGGTGCACGGCATGAGTATTCACGCGTTTCTTCAAAATCGATAACCGTTAACGAAGCAATTGACGGAGCCTTATTTTATACACCCATTTAAAGATGATTCCGTCGTTATGATGCACCAATCTGACGGTGCACTTTTAAGCCTCAATTTTACGTGCGATGAAGTAACCGAATGAATGCATCGATGTGAGAAGTGACTGTACCGAGTGTTTTTACTCAAGTATAATAAAACTGAATCTTGGTATTTTTTTTTACACGAGGACATCAATGTCTGCCTCTATTTGAATCGAGGGCTATTACCGAGGCGGTCGTGGTAGTTTGTTTTGTGTTGTCACTGTGCAGGTGAGTGGGACTTGTTGGCGATGTGCACGAAGCGGTCACGTTGATGCAAGTCGCTGTCAATGTTGGCAAACGGATGTCCTCTCCAAACTTGGAGAGCTGAATGGAGTTCACAAGAACTCACAAACACCGCCTTGTTGTGAAAGACCCAGCGCGGAACATCCCTGGGTTTGATCTTCCACGAAGCTCATTGGCCACCCTCAACCGCATACACTGCACAAAACCATGGCAGCAGATGCAGATACCTGATGCACAAATGGAAGATGTTCAACTCTCCAGGGTGTGACTGTGGTCATCCAGAACAGACCGTACAACAACATCTGACGACGCAATGCCCAATCCACAAATACTAGGGAGACATCGTAGCGACGCACTCGCCTACTCCTGACGCGATTGTCTGGCTTGACCACCTGAATGTGAGATTGCAGTTGTTGCTCTGCTCAGCAGCCATACGAAAGGAGGGATGTCCTGTCCTCAAGGGCTCCCATCTTCTCATCGCGACCTCCTGCGTGTTGCTAAAATGGCAGGTGGCCGCGAGTACGAATCCCATCCTGATGCTTTCCTCTTGCAAGATGTTCACGTAATATACTTCCACGAACAGATGTTTCTGATATACCCAGTAAACAATGGGTGAAGCAATTCTCTTTGTAAGGCTGCAGTGCGACAGAAAGCGCTAACTCTGTCGAGATATTCCAGTTCCGATGATTAATGCCACTGCACCGTGCAGCCAAGACGATCCCTTTTTTATTTCAGGGCTTTACTGCTTGCCCATGAAAGTCACCACATGGTAAGCATAACGGCATGTTCTGTATAACTAGGCTATCAACGCCGCAGGATTAGCATGCGCTCCCTCGGCAGACGTGGAGCCACGCCGACAGCTCAAGTTGTGTGTGCTGAACGTTATCTTCTCACTGCAGATGTGCACCGCTGCGCCGGCTAGGAAGCAACTCTGCAACGTCTTCCTGGTTTAATATTTTACGTGTCGTATGTGGGGCGATAGCATGGCCCAGCAGTAGCGCGTTCGCGGCTTGTTGCACAGGTTCACGGTTCTAATCCCAAACGGCCACCCTGGTTAATACTGCGACGTGTGTAATAGCCATAAAATACTAAACGCACTGTCTGCTTCACGGTGGACGTTAAAGATCCAGTGACGTCATTTGAAGGAGTAGCCCCTTTGTGTGCTGACGCCATGATCCAAATTTGAAAAATTATCCGCAAAAAGGCTAATTTGGAATCTACAGAACGATCATCACCCCCTACTGCAAAAGTTTGGCAGGACTCTCCTATAACAAGAGTAATGAGACGGTGAGGCTTTCCTGGGTAAGCAAACAGAATAGATGTTTTTTTACGGACGTCAAATTTAGTAAAAAAAAAGTAAAAACAAAGTGGTAGATATTGGTAAGAATGCACATTGAACACAGCTATTACTAAATATTTTATTCACTTATGCATGACAACTTAAATACACCAGGGATGGCACAAGGCTGTTCCTTGCATGCTGAAAGGATTGTGAAACTGGAATCCCAGCTGTAAAACAAATCCTTGGGACCCTGAATGACATGGTGCCATCCCTGTACATGATATGACAATGTGACCAAAAAAACAAATGAATACACCAACGTTTTAAATTACAAAATAACATAAATAGCGGAAGTCGTCATTCAGTTTTATGCATGAGGAGGAGGGATGGGGGTACAGGGGTTGACGGAGAGGGAAAATGTAAAAAAATAATCCACAGAGTTGCATCTCTTTGTTAGATTTGTGTGCTGCGAATGAGCTCCGCCAAAATTGTTTAAATCGCATCGGTGTGTGTGTGCACGCAACACACACCGATGCACACACGCACACGCAAGCCTTGGCACGAGTCTGCACTGGTGCGCACGCACACACGCGCGCGCACGCACACACACGAACCTCCTTCGCATTAGTCACTACCCCACCCACCCCCTGCACCCAGGAGGCAGGAAGTGAGATCGCTGCAGTTTAAAATTGCCACAAGGTGCCCACTTAAATCTGGCCGAGCGGAAAGTTTGCGTCTAAGCGGCGGAGGTCGCAAGAGAAACGAAGACGTGCCGCCGCTCGTCATCGGCCTCCCCTCGCCATCTCGGCAGAGTCTCAACGGACGCAAGCGAGATTGTGCCGTCGCCACAGTGCAATGGGAGGCCCATCCAGAGTGTTGCTTTGACAAAAACTCAACATCTCGCTCAGCTCTTCATGATTACACTGAAATAACTATGGTTTATGTAGCTTAACTGAAAACTTTAAGTTATAAAAAAAAATGTATCCGTACATCTTTACGTTTCTAACAATGGCATGCCAAGTAAATACATGTGTTTTTTTTTATTTTGACCAGTGAAATCTGCCTTTGAATATTTAGATATTAACTGGTTCGTATTACATACACAAGTCACCCTCGATCATCGCACGTCCCCTCTCACCATAGCTCTCGGCGCGCACGTCCCTCTCACAAACACCGGACAACGACCACGGAACACTTCACAACGAATGCACTGCTTGAACAGTAGGTGGGCAGTCTCGGGAGTTGCCATCCCAGCTCCCAACAGCCAGGCCCCGCAGCGCTCACCCGCGGGCAGCCATCCGTCCCTGCACGGCCCACGTTCCCCGCCCAGCGAGGCAGTGCAATTGACCCAGAGTCACAAATATCCCCCCTCCCTCCCCCGCGTATTCTCCACAATAAGCATGGAATGGATTTTGATTTTTTTTACCGTCGCTTTTAAACTACAGCGAAAAAAACAAAGCCACTTCTCTAATGCAGGAGGATTAAGGAGAAACAAACGGAGACACTTTCTTTCCATTTCAACACCAACTAATGATGGAACGACGAGGAAGAAGGACGCTCAGAAACAAATGGCCGGGTGTCGGGGGGGGGGTCTCACGGAGGGGGCCTCAGTCGCCCTCGATGTTGGGGCAGTGCACGTCCCCCTTTTGGGACTCGGAACCCGGTTGGTGCGTCCCATACTTATCCACGCACCAGCAGATCCCGCGGTGCCGGCCACGCGAAGGGTTGCACTGCAAGGAGACGGCACATGCAGCGCCCCGGTTACGACCGCGAAACGTTACCATAACGGGCGGAAGCCTCTTACGTGAGCGGCAAACGAGCGGATTATTTTTTTGTAATACGGCTTCAATGAAACTCCGATGACCTAGATTATGAGATTTTTAATTACCTCAAAGATTAGAGAGATTTATGTAGCCGATGCCAATTTTAGGCTTTCGAGAAATAATGAAATGAGTTTCTGTGGAGGAAGCAACGTGCAGAGCCAGGGTGGTGAACGCAGTACCTGTTTCTTCTTGAAAAAGCCGCGTCTGTCACAGTTCGGAATGCGGACTCCTTTGAGAGTTGGGCGTGTGGCCGTTTTGAGGTTTTCAAGTATGTTGTCCATTAGCTTGCGACAGGGGCCCTGTGAGAAAATCCAATCAACGTCATCCTGAACGAGGCAGCACCGCAGGTTCCGCAACAACCACTCAGGCTGATCGTATCTGGACACCGCCAGGGAGGGCAGATACGACCACCGGTGTTTTTTGTAACAGCATTGTGGCCGTTTAAGCACCGATCGTAGAATTGCTAGGGCAGCTGAAGCGCTGTGAAAACCGGGTTTCCCAAATTCCTTGAATCTGCCGCGTGTCTGCCATGATGTCCCGATGTCACTGCCTAATTAGTTGCAAATGTCACCAGCCTTTGTCTCGTCGTCAGCCGTGCGTTTAGGTTTCGCCACGGAGGCGCTCTGCGGCTCTGTTTGTCTGCTGCGCTAGAGTTTAGGGCGCATTTAAAACGCAGTCGAAGGTGGCGTGATGAAACGGTAGTAAAGTATCATATCGCTGGAAACTGCTGTTTATCTTTTTTTTATGAACTGCCATGATTGATGCCTCTTTATTAAGGCCTGTGCTAACTCGCAAGTATTCTGTCTCGTGCTCATTAATGTTCACGAGTTCTTCTTATGTTGTGCTTACTAATGTACTCACTAAACACTATTGCTGCGAATACGAATTCATGTCAATATATATACTTACTCGAGTTTTGCCCAATAGTACCCTAATGCTTGGTGATAATTACTACATTGCTTACATTCAGGTGCGCCAATGCCAGTGGTTTCCCGCAGTGCTGGCAAGCTCGTGCTCACTATCTCTTACTAATGTTTGCTGTCGTGCTTGCTGTGGTGTGGATTGTGCTGACTAGATGCACTCACGAGCGCTTACCAGTGTTTCGTGGAGCGGCGAGCTAGATTCGCCGTCTAGGCTACGCAGTAGAAATCAATCGTCGTGTTTTACAGTTCACCTCGAGCTCACTTTGCGCGGGCACGCGTGCAGCACTAGAGAGACGGTCAGGGGAGGGAGCTGGGCCCAACGCCCTCAGCAGAGCTGCTTTCGTAAGGAACCACGCGCGGTGATGGCAAGCCGCTTGCTACGTTCACGGCATTTGAACGGCCACGGTTCCTGGCGTTTTTACATTTCCAGAATCGCGCACGCGCGTTCACTGCAGCGCGCTGCTGCTGCGCGCATCTGCAACCCGCTCGGCAGGGCGCTCACAGCGCGCCGCCGTCGCACTAAAACCACGAAGCCCGATCCCCTGCCGTTGGATGCATTATGGCCATTCGACTCGATCGCATTCACGCGATTGTTTTACGTCGTCGTATTTTAGTGGTAGCGCCCCCTAGTGGCTACAAGGGTGACGTCGACCCATTACTCACAGTGCATGTAGCCCCACCCCTCCTACCCCCACCCCCACCACCACAGCTCCCGCCCTGCAGGCACGGGGGCTGCGCGCATCGCGACCCGGGAGGCGGCGCTGCAGATCGCTCATCAGACCCCTTACCCCCCCCCCCATCCCCTACTCCATTGCGCATCAATTATCCCGCTCGGGAAGGAGGCCCCGCGCTCCAGCAGCAGCCAATAGGCGACCGGGCCCGCGTGTGGCCCCAACCCTAACCCGGTGGTATGGGGGGGGGGGGGCACTCACTTGTTGCTGGAGTCGGGGCCCTCCCGCGGCGACCGCGAAGCCCACGCTGCCCCTCTCGGGGGCGCCCTGCACCAAGCGCTCCCGGTGGCGCTGCGGCGTGCCCTGCAGCAGCTTCTGCCGCTCGCGCTCGTTGTTGATGCGGCTGCGGCTCAGCGAGTCGCCCGGCGGCGGCTCGGGGCTCGTGGGCTCCGCCTCGGCGCTCCACGGACCCTCGGGGTCTGCGTCGCGGGCAAACGAACGGAGTTCGTCAGCTGGGCCAAGGAGGGCGAAAAGCCCGACCGAAATCGAAACTGGTTCCGAGCTCGTGCCCCCGAGGTGCGCCGCTCCCAGGTGTGGCTCGGTGTGCCACCTCGCACATCAGGCTCGCCAAACGCGACCGCCCTGCGGCTCCGTCAACATTTAATGACAGCTCCCCCCCCCACTCTCCCCCCACATCGGTCACGGCGATTTGGGTGAAACCGCGGCCGTCGGGACGTAGGAAGAGGTTCACATTCGCGGCGAGGACACACGGCAACTGGCCTGCAAATGCGCGTGACCACTCACGGGCACAGCGCCCCTCGGCACGAGCGCCTGGACCCGCGTCCCCCTCCTCCCCCTCCCTGCGTCTCGCTCCAACTGGGGCAGCGGTGAGACCCGCGCCGCGCTCGCGGTGACCCCACATGATCTCTCCCTGATTGTGCAAATCGTTTCTGGTCTCCACCAGCAGCCGGGTTCCCTTCGCTCGATGTGAAGCGAACCCCACAGTCCCCCACGCCCGCCCGCAGGCGTTCGTGTTGACCTCCCCATGAGGTCTGAGAACGCCAGATGCGCTGTCCCTACGCGTTCGTGCCCCCCCCACCCCCCCGGCTGTTGCCGAGCCATCGCGATGATCGCGGGCTCCTCTGCCCATGCCCTCTGCGGTGTCCATCCCCTGCTCGTTCTCCCCCGTGTCTCTCCACCACGCGCCCCCCCCCCCCCCCGACCACTCGCACCGCTTCAACGACCCCCGCCGTCTGTGACCCCCTCCCCTCACTCACCCTGCGTGGCCTCGGTGGCCGAGGCCGGCTGCTGCGCCTCGAGGCTCGCGTTCCTGCACAAGCCGCGTCCCTCGAGCAGCGCCTGGAGCGGACGGATCTCCCCGGGGGCCGGGCTGCACAGCTGACCGGCGCCGCAGCGCTCCGTGTAGACGCCGCACGGCTGCCCGGGCAGGCGGGCGCAGGTGAGGCAGCAGCCGCAGCCGGGCTCCTTGACGAGCTCGCAGCCCGCCGGCGTGACGCACGCCGAGAGGGCGCGCGAGTCGCACTCCTCGCAGTGCACGGGCGGAGGCGGCGGCGGCGGCGGCACCTCGGCGGCGCGGCCGTCTCGGGCGGCCCGAGCGCACAGCAGCAGCACGGAGAGCAGCAGCGGGGACGAGGGCGCCGCGCCGCCGCGCGCGCGCTTGGCCATCGGCCCCGCGGGGTCGACGCGACGGGACGGACGCGCGACCGATTCACTGGGCGCCTCCGAATATATTGCGCAATAACCCGCGGGCAGTTTCTGCAGCCGTGTGCGGTGCGAACTATAGCTCTGCCGTGTGCGCAGACGAGACTGCGCGCGCAGTCTACTGCAGGAGCGATAGTCGAGGACAGAGGAGAGAGCAGAGGAGACAGTCTGGAGACGGCCGTTCTAACCACGGGCAACTCCGCTCACCCCTCGCACGTGGAGTCCCGTGCGCCCGCTTATATAGAGGCGGGCTGGCGCCCCGAACCGTGCATCGCGGAGTCGGCGTCTGCCGCCCCGAACCGTGCATTGTGAACAATTATATCGGTGGTGTGTGTGGGCATTGGTGGCCCCGGCCCCCAGTAGCCGGGTGCGTAGAGAGATGGAAATCCCGGAGGCCTCCCCTGGGCTGTCACGTGCACGAGCCCAAGTTCTGTGCTGGGTGGATGCATGCCTGTGATCCGGGTGTTTCAAGGCAGGTGTTGGTGGATCACATAGAGATGTTTGATACTGCAAGGTGGCCAGTTGGTTTCGGTACATAAAGTTGGATGGATTCGTGAGCCCATCCGTGTGGTCCCTTGCGTTATTACCCCCACCCACCTTCCTAATGAGTGGTTTTACTTTGAGTGTGTTAGCTTTCTCCCACACACCAACCACTCATTAGAAGAAGAATTGTCCAAACTTCCCAGTGCAGGACTCTCCTGAAATATTTTGAAGACTCGGTTTCTTTTGGATGGGTAAATAAATAATTAAGAGGGGGGGGGGGTAATCATATATTCTGTTATTCACAGATACCTAGGCTGAAAGAGTGTGGGTTCATGAAAGCCGGGAATCAGGTCAAAGTGACCTCTCTATCACCAGAACTGATCATAAAGTTATCGCCAATTCCTCTTGGAAGAATTCCCTCTTACATGCACACGAACATCATGACTCCCAGAATCACCCTGAGTCACCTTTGACTTCCGAAATCATCATTCACCGCCCCCTGAGACTGAACCCCACGATGCTCGGCGACTTTGGGTCAGTCAACCTCGGGGCAGTCAACCTCGGGGCAGTCAACCTCGGGACAGTCAACCTCGGGGCAGTCAACCTCGGCATTCCCCAAACCGCATTGGCCACCCGCGCGTCGTTGAAAAAAGACGTTTTCTACAGCGTCACTGGAGCTTGTGTGTTCAAAATCAGTGCTGTCATCCTTTGTCATCTTAGGATAGTTTAGCTTGGCCGTCAGCCAGTGGCGTCTGGGCTGAATGCTAAGATGCCAAAGAAACCATCGTACATCATCATCATCAAAACAGAGTAGACTGTCTGCTGGGCAGATATGGGGCCTATGGGGGTTTGAGGCCACCGTGAACGAGGCTAATTAAATAATGAATCATTCCAAACGACTTGGGGGCCGCACATCCTTATTTGTTAGAAAACAAAAGAGTCTCGCCACAACGAAAATTAAATATTCACACTTGTGTCAATACTCCGTAGTTCAGGGTCTGTCCGAGTAATCTCGTCACCACTATCTTGCTCAATGCCAACATTATTTGGTTATTTAACGCGATCCTGTTAATAACGGTCATTATTGCAGTGACAATAGTATACCATATTATTTTAGGTGCATGGCACTTCTTCAAGTTGTGAATACTAATTACGAAGGCGGGGGGAGGCGGGGAAAGGCCACGGACAGTTTTTTTGTGTTGTAGAAGAATGTGAAATATGTTGCCGTTTGGAAATAGCGATGGAAAGTTCTATAACTAAGTGCGCACAAATTGAGATTGCGCACATTTTTTTTTCAGCCGGTTTGGAATATTTTCTGCCTCTCTGCCACTTTGTCCAAAAAAATATAATTTAAATCAGCTGTGGCTCGGGGCACTTTGAGCAAGAATAATGCAAACCATACACAAGCGGGAGTCACACGAGCTGAGCTGCGTACACGCACACACACGCACACACACAGACGCGGCACACCCACACGCACACACGCGCACTCACACACGCGCACACACGCGGCACACGCGCACCCACACACAAAGACAAAGCTCCCCCGTATGCCTCTTTAACAGACTGTTGGGGCAAGTGCTGTTAGCGAGCACCTATGACGGCCAGCACCGCACAGGAGGGGGTGGGTGACTAGCACCACGCCGGGCCGCCTTTGTCTCCCCAATGGCGATGTTTACACACCGCACCAGGTACTCATTTAAGGCTGAATCTACCTAGGGGAGGACAGAGGACCGGGTCAGATAATCGTCACTGGTGTTGGCCGTGAGCGCGAATCGAACTCGGGTCGCCGGGTTTGTAGCGCAGCGCGCTAACCGCTACACTACCGCTGCCGAAACATAACGCGCACACACAACACACACACGCGCACGCGCGCAGGCAGGCTCTCGTACGCTTATCCCGAAATCGGCCAACATGTTTAACGGCTACATATGTGCGATGTCCAGTTTAGTGTGCAGAGACTTACATCGCTGTTGCTGAGTCTTATACAGTATATACAAAGTGTGTACTATAAGTTAACCCAATAACAATGGGAATAAGACACTTCAAGTACACGCACAGGCCATTTGTCCATCCACTGCTGGATGGGGTCTCCACACCCAGTACGGGTGTTGCAGGTCAGTGCGCATTGGTGGCGGCGGGGAGCATAGCTATTGAAACATAGTACAGTAGAACAATAGGATTTGTATGCACTACCCTGGGTTGTTCACCATATCTTCCTACAACAACTTGCAACAACCCGCTGTGCGTGGTGGTCATCAGTCGAAGCACTATCCGGGCTCACAGCTGCTTAGCTTCCAGTGTCTGATCAGATTGCCCACAATCACGCGCTCTCTGTTCATTAATATCCAGTCTCGTAGTGTAACACCCTTTTAACTTGGCTGGAGATGTCACTGAAGATAGCCTGTGGCCTTTGCAAAGCCTGCGTTAACTCAGCTGGCTTTTTGTTGGGGGCTTTAGCTTTGTGCTGTGGCTGAGATAGGGGCAGTAAACTTGGGTTTAAGAGAGCTTTTAAGAAAAGTTCCAAAAGCCATTTTATTGCTGCTCAGCATGATGTGCACTGGAAATTGAAATAAAACATATAATTGGCTTTATTTATAGAGTATTAAATAAATATGTGCAGTAAAATAACAATTCTCTTCTCCGAGAACTCCGTGGGCTCTGCATAATACCCAATAGAATCTAATTAGGACCACTCTTGGCCTGTGCAAAGGGGCGCATGCAACATTCAATCCAGGTCCACGCACTGTGTTGTCTTTAATTCGCTCAATTTGCCGCAGATAAGTCAGCCGCAGATGGCCAAATCTTCGCTTGCTCTCTTCGTTCAAACGAATTGTGAATTATTCTTTGGAATAAACAAGATAGGATGGAAGAATAGGCGTGTGTCCAATCTCGTTTTGCGCTGTTTATATATGATCGTGGGCTATAGTGTTCCATATTCCAGTGAGTGTTATTAGGGGAAGCTGTAACTGCCATTCTAGTGGACTACAGGGTAAATGGATCTAACATTGTAAATGTGATCCATGTGCTTTTCATTATGATTTTATATAACTTCAGCTTGATGCTAACGGCGGCTGCCTTGTAACCCAGTGACCTGGAGGTCGTGGATCATGCTGCGATTGAGCTTGTGCAAGACACCCAGCTTGAAGTGCAGCAAGGTGCCTGCAGGAGGCAGTGCAGCAAGTAGGTGTGTACTCTTTTGTGGAATTTGGTTATGTGTAGGTGCCCTCGTTTCTTCCCACATTTAAAATACGATTAAATGGAATTGGCCAAATGTCCCCGGCCAGTATATGAGCATTGAGCAGTCGGTGAGACAATCACGAATAGAAACACAACAGTGGAAACAAGTTTTCATTGTTTTTTCCAACATTGCCATTTTTTTATGCAACAAAACTCAAATGGAATGTTCAAGTTATACTCAGATAACGCAATAATCCAAGGTATGCATTCTTGGATCATCAACATGATCATCGTTGTTGTGAAACCATGTGGCGTAAGTGGCCTATTTGAAAGCAGCCACTCGCCAAGGGATCTACCTGCGTAAGGAAGACGGGCTGTAGGCAAGGTCCACCCAGTGCCCCACCCACCCCTCTCGTCTCTACACACTTGCCCTTTGCATTGAAGAAGAATATTCGAGCGGAAGTCCACTTTTCTTGGTCCTCAATCCAGCCTGACACTGCCACTTTGACTTCTTCGCCATTGGAAAATAGACGCTCAAGCACGTGCGCGCGCGTGTGTGTGGATTCTCCACGTGTTTGAATGGAAAGATGAGCATGCGGTCGCTGTGTGTGTGTGGGGGGGGTGTGGGCTGCATCGTGTTGCGGTTAAACTCCTCGAAGCCGCACTCTCCTGATGCCCGCCTCGACAAATCGGACTTGTGAACTGGCACGTTGTTGTGAAGAAGCGACGCGTAAATAAGTCAACTTTCCACGCCGATTTTTTTTTTCGTAAGTGTGGCAGCGTAACCCTTGCCCTGCTATTGTGATGTTGCATGGCATGTAACAAACGAAGAGAAATATCTTCAGAATCACCAAAAAGATGAGACCATGAACTCTACAACTAACGGTTGCATCCAACATGTTTACCCTGCACCGCGTATAATCTGGTTTCGTCTCTGCGTCCCAGAGATTAATATAAAGTTTAATCTCCAGTCACAATTTGTGAAAGAAAAAACTTTAGGATTTATTTCAAAACACTGCCGAAGTCTCTTCACAAACTCGAATTTGCTCCGAAAACCGACCAGGGACGTGCCCAGCTTTCATGACGGATTATTGGCACACTGGGTTCTGATATGCTAAGTTCACAAGCAATTTGTAAGAGTGTTGGTTTCTTTCTTGATAGAACCAGATCCTTCCACTTTTCGGCGCAGTTCTGAAGTTGTCGTTTTCCATTGTACGTCCTGACGATCTACTTCATCAAATTCCTGCCCACATTCAAACTGCTATGACCAGGACTCTACTTGGTCCACTGAAGGCCCCTCATTTCCATAAATAGCCAGCATCCGCCCGTGGATTGCACGAGGTGTATTTATACAACACAGTCTACATTTATATAGCAGCGTCTAAATGCAACCACATATCCAGATGCTTCACAGGGGTGGGAAGAGAGGAGGGGGAAGCTAGATGCACATCATTTTTGACGCAAACAAGGGCAGAGTCTCAACTGCGTTGTAGTTCAAGAGCAAGATAATTCCAGACGTCAAGAAGAGCAGAAGCCTTGAATGAGCGATGACCTCCCACGGATCGATCGCTGACTGTGAGCTTTGTAAGAAATATGCCTTTAAGCCTGCCGGAGAGTACAATGAGAAGAGAGGGAAAAGGAAGGTACGGGGTAGAACCATGAATAAAAAAACAGTCACTTGACTCCGAGACGTGACAGGAAGCCAGTGGAGAGACCGCGGTGCTGGAGTGTCCTGGTCACGTGTGCGGGTCACGTGTGCGTGTGCGGGTGAAGAGCTTTGAAGTGGCGTTCTGATTTATCTGTAATCTTGAAATGGGGGGATTTGGGAAACATCTTTAGTGAGGAATCACTGATTGTGCTCCAATTTCTTCACATCCATGACTATCTAACACGCTGTTAAAGTTATGTTGAGGCGGTAGCTGGAATCGTACTGGGCTGAAAGTCTGCAGGAGTCAACAACAGACACGTCACAGCTTGTGCACTTGCATATCTCCGCTCATCACGTAGATAACTAATAGGGCTCTTCATTGTTGAAACGCCCGGTTGCCAAGTCACTTGTGTTTTGCAAAGTGCATGCATTCACAACAAATCCTTGTGAATATTCAACAAAGATGTTTTTAATTTGCTAACTTGGATTTTTGAGTTTACATTCGTGGAATACTTTGAATTTTATTTTCGGTTTACATTATATCCAAGAGCCCCTCTGTTCAAGTTATGAATTACCACGAACAATTCCACCACCTCGTGCTTTATTTGGAATTTCTGTTAGGTTCTTGGCTAAATAATTAAATCTCTTGCTAATTATAACAGTAATATTTGAGTTTTATAAAATGTCTTTATTCTACTCATAAACCACCGCAACATTTCTATATTTCTATATGACCGTTCATTTTTAGTAGGCAACTCAGTGTGCATTTTGGCACCGAATGTAGCGCGGTCTGCCAAATGGCCAAGTTCAACATGCTGAGAGAGTTGATTCTCAGTGCAACCAGCCACTCTTCCCATAGACCGCTGCTCATCAAGACAGCATTCAGCCAAGCACACGCTTAACTCTATCGGTCGAAGTTGTGGCAGCAGTCCCCAAATGGTCATTCCCGTGTGATATGTGATTTTGTCCGAGTGATAGATTTGGCCGTCAAACCTCAGCTACGAATACTATGGGAAACACATGGACGGCACAATCGCCGCGCTGTATTTCAACCCACCGGAGAGCGATGATATTTATAATTTGCACGATGTTGTGTATGATCTGAATTTACTGACACAAACACACACGAAGATGTACACTGCGTGTACAAAGACATCTCTCAAGCCTTATGCAGTCGACGAGTCTGTAGGAACCACATGTGAGGCCTTGTTGTCGTTTTAGACCAACTGGCTAACTGGTAGGCAGCAATGAAACCAATACACAACTGTAGACCGGTTTCATGCTTATGAGGACTCATTAGTACAGTACAGTCATCATTGTTCACTGCTATGATATGCCTCTGGGCGCCGTACACATGGAGGAGGGTTTGTACCTCGACTATATGGTGACCCGTGTGCATTGCACATCTCTGTGTGTTCTTAATCAATTTGTTTTCTGGCCAGCACTCATGCTGTGATGGGTTGTCTTTGTCATTTACCGATGATAATTATTGTACAGGATATCATCATGGGATGAAGAAAATGTCACATTTCTGCTTTTCACTTGCAGTTTATTATAATACTTGCTGTACTGCCCGGCTTCGCCCCGGGACTTGGATCCACCACGCCCGGCCGCCTTTGTCTCCCCAGTGGCGATGTTCACACAAGCACAGCAGTTACTAGTTTGAGGCTGAGTCGACCTAGAGGAGGCCCAGGACCGGTTTAAATAATCGTCACCGGTTGTGGCCATGAGCGGGAATCGAACTAGAGTCGCCGGGTTCGTAGCGCGGCGCGCTAACCACTACACTACAATGCGCTACGCTTCCACACGCGCGGGTCACATGACAGATTTGACGTCACAGCTCACTTGCCGTGCAAAAAATCAATGCATTATTGAGCCCCCCCCCCCGCCAAAAAAAGTTTATTTTTATCATTGTTGCATGGTGTACAGTCTGGAAAATACCCACATGGCAAATTTCAAGTTTGTTGCATGTCGGGAAGTACGCTAAACATTTTGAACAGACAAACATTCACAACTTTGCCTTTTATATCTATGGAGATAAATGTACAGCCACTGCCAATTGAAGGCCTTTCCACATCTTGTAAGTCATGACGGTTGTTTGATCATACTTCACCAAGCTGATTAGTGTGAACTGGTGAATAACCGGCTCGAATATCACTTACAACTGATATTAGCCAGAGCCAGGAATCAAACTCAGGTAACCAGGCTCATGTTTGAGTGTGCAAACCGCTGCAACATCGCATCTTCCATTCGTATGTACAGCACCTGGACAGGCCTATTGTCAATCCACTGCTGGATGAGGGCCTCCACCTGCCATGTGGGTTATTTGGTTATACCTAAATCCCTTAGCATAGACTACTTTATTACATGTAGCCCGCAGTGGTAATCCAGAAATTCTGCCTGGTCCCCATGCATTGTTACGTGGCGAGATGTTAACTACCTCGCCTGGTATACAGAAGCGTGTGGGTTCGATCCCGACCATGACGCTTTTATATTTGGAGGTTGCGTGTCTCTCTCTCCCCACGGTCGCATGTATTTTTCTCCGGGTCCTCCAGTTTTTTCCCCTCCACATTTAGAACCATGCGTTTAGAGGATTTGGCTGCTGTACATTTCCACATGATAAGCCGCTTCGTTGATCTATCATTTGTGATAGCCAGGTCGCTTCTGAAAAGGAGCTATGCAGATCAGTGGGCCTTAGCTGGTAAAATAAAGAAGCACATTCCTGCGGAGGGAGCTGGTAGGAACGTTGGGTTGCTCTGTCAATGGCCAGGGTCAACGGTGGCGTGGTGTATTCTCCAAATATGCCCGACTGTGAGGGCGGGCACAGCCGGCGTGAGTAGGTTAAACGTTGAGTTTTATAAGGGCACCACGGAGTAACCAGCCCCTCCCCACCCAGCCCCACCCCTCCCACCCCCCACCCAGCCCCACCCTCCCCACCCAGCCCCTTCCCACCCTCCCCACCCAGCCCCTTACCACCCTCCCCACCCAGCCCCTCCCCACCCAGCCCCACACTCCCCACCCAGCCCCTCCCCACCCTCCCCTCCCCACCCAGCCCCTCCCACCCCACCCAGCCCCTCCCTGCACGACGGACGGACGGAATAATCCCCTGTGGGCTGGTGTAACCAGGAGGTTCCTACCAGTATCATGTTTTTGTTTCATCTCCTGGCATTATATTCACTCTCTTCCACCCCCACCACCACTGTGTTGCCATTGCCTCTCGCTCAGCCCCTCCCTCCATCCTCCAACCCTGGGGGCAGGAGGGCTGTTCATTTTAAAACGCCCCACGACTGCTAACAGCCACGAAGATCTCGGGCATTTTATGTTCGTCTACATTGCGCAGATGGCCCGAGAGACTAATTTCAGGTGTGGGCTGTACAGTAGTTCTTCGATCTAATTGCAATCGTGCGTCTTGATTGTTTTGCTGTTGGGGCAGGGAGCGGTGAGCTGCGGGGAGCGGTGAGCTGCGGGGAGCGGTGAGCTGCGGGGAGCGGTGAGCTGCAGAGAGCGGTGAGCTGCAGAGAGCGGTGAGCTGCAGAGAGCGGTGAGCTGCAGAGAGCGGTGAGCTGCGTGAGGTTTAGCGCCGCTGCACTATGGAAACGAGTCACTCGTTTTGATTTACAGCTATGGCTAACGTCAGCGGTGAATTGTATCTGAACCGGTCTTGGTGATCCTGCCGTGCCCTTTAGATCAGCTCGCACTGACCAGCGTGGTGAAGTATGGTCAAACATCCCCCAATGCGAACACGGTGCGAGGAGCCCCTGGTCCAGCATTGGATTGACAATTAACTGAAAATTATGCTGATTATAAGTTGTCTGTTTGCGATTAAACCATCTGCTACTCTATTATAAATACAAAACACAAGTATTTTTACTGTTAGAATATTTTAGACATTGGCATACAGTATTTTAACAAATCAGTATTTTGATCTGTGTAGGGTTGTTATTTCTCATTGTTATCGTAAGTTTTTTTCTAGCAGTTTTTGGATTTGTGAATTGTTTTTATCATTCTATTAATATATTTATTAAGTGCAATAATATCGTCTAAACGCGATGCAATCCAATATTACAGTCTGTTACAAAACAATGGGGAGCTAAAAGGCTACATTTTACAAATATATTTTATTCTTCGAAATCAATGGATGTGTCATCGATGTTCATTTTCAAGTCCTTCCTGAAACACTTAATTTTAGGACCTGGTGTTTGGAGTGAGGTTAAGGCCCTGTCATGCAATTCTATGCTTTTGATTAGGGCACTTGTCACATTTTTTTAGCAGGGAGCGTCATATTTAAGCCATATCCCGAAACCAACCATTCACAAAGGAGATGACTCCAAGCCTCCTGGACGGCTATGCAAACCATCGTCGCCTGACCTTGCCTGGATTGCTGTCAGTGACCCTTTGGGTAAGTCCACGGCCATTGACTAGACCTTGAGAGTAAATTGGATATTCTGCATCGTGTCTTGGGAAATGCTGACTGGAGCACATTATTCCGTTCCCCCAAAAAAACATGGTAATGAAAAACTGCGGAAAAGTTAAAAGTGGCATTTGAATTAATGTCACTTCACAAAACTGGTAACCGTGTACTAAAATTGACATTCCACAGTAAACCAAACAATGCACATTCACTTGTGCCCTTGAATGCTTTCTCATTATATTTGGACATCTTACAGACCTAGCAAATGTGAGAGCGTTAACGTTATTCACAACTAGTTTGTTAACTGTAGTTTAACGTGAGCCAAGCGTGATTTGTTCACGTGGTCGTCTTAAAACCACGTTGCAAGATCACAATGCGGTTCAACTTGTCGGCAAAGTATTCGCCAGATATTTCTGGGATCTGACGGCAATTCATGAATAATAATTAATATTTTTTTTAAATAAACAGTATTGTGCTCCGAGTAGAGAGACACGCGGGCATTTGTTTGTGCAAAGGGCAGCTGTGGGCGGTTGATTCCACGCAGTGCTTTGGACCGTGGTGGGCCCCACTGTCCGAGGCCTTGCACGTGATTTGTGTACTTGCTTTCTGATACACGTGCAGTTCAAGTTCTACACGCAGCAACAACAAAAAACGCACACCTCTGCGTTTAGAACATTTACTACACGAATGTATCTCAAGTGTTTATCCAAGGCGTCTTCAAATGTTGACGCAGGTGACTGGAAGCCTCATAAACGTACGCCATCGTCACGCCCGTAACTGCGTAGCTCAAGGCTTAGGTGCACGTGGCCACTTTTGCTATAAACAACACCAACCAGTTGGGTGGTTCAACTCAAAAGAGGTGACGTTGAAAGAGCTGGAATGCTCGGCCGCGTTATTAATTACAGTATAGTGGCCATAAATGTCACTTTGGGTTGGATCTGAAGGCAAGTTGCTGCGTGTCATTGGCTGCTCGAGTCACGTCGACACCGAGAAGGTCGGCAGGAGAGTGACCAAATGTGATCACATCATTGCGATCTCTGGAAAGGCAAAGCTGCCAGGCTCCCGCACCACCCAAACGAGTGGGCGTGGCCCAGCTGACTGCAGGACATTGCGCTACCCTCTTCCGCGAAACCAAACGATGGAAGCGTGCGTCGTCATCTTGCCGCGGAATGTGTCAAAACAGAGTGGATGTTAACGATCTCGTGACGTCGCTCAGACAGAGACACCTTCGAGGGAGAGGCAGGCAAATGTGTTCTGGGATCACGGTCCAACATTTGACGAATTACACTGAAAATGACTTGATTGGCAAATGCATAGCAATCGTTGTCCACCACTGCTAAACATGAGAAGGACCCTCGTAAAAATGAGTCTTGAGACTCATCGAGGTTTTTCTGAGTAAACAAGTGGAATAATATACGATACTAATGGTACAAATTATCACTGCGAAGTGAAATATGCATAAGGGTCAAACAAAGCCTTTCCTTGCCATCATTTTTTAGCCTGAGAGGAAAGTCGATTTTAGTCATCCGTCGATAACTCTGGACATATATCACTAGTCGTGCCACCAAGAGGATTATGTTGAAGTATGTCTATCTACTATGAATGAGTGCCTAGATTTATATATGTTGTGTCAAAGAATGCCCGTCCCTGCCTGCGCATAGTAACATGCGCCTGATATTTCGCACACGGTGCACGTGTGTGCCCTATCCAACCAGTGGTGACTTTTCCCCTAAATACTACACTGGGGCAACATCCCCCCCCCCCCCCCGTTCCAACTTCCTCATTGAGGAACAAGGATGCTTTATTTATGTGTCAATGTCCCAGTCAGTTGATATATATTCAATGAAACTGCAGGCTGTAATGGCAGTTATTCCTACGGGGGGCACGTGATTAAATCGTATTATCCAGAGGATTGTTGTGTCGATGCTTTCGTGCAACGGTCAACAGTTTTTCCTCAAAACAACGTTGCCATTTTGCATTTTGAAAAATAGTGCAAGGGATTGAATCTCTCTCCGATGTGTGTGTCATACCGCGTGTGGAGGAGGATCGTGAAGGACGCTGCTACTGGGCAGTTGGAGGCAGTCGCCCTCCAACAACAACGGAGGGCAGAGGAGCGACGCTTACAACAACGAGCGGAGTGCCGGGCGGATAAAATGCAGCAAGTTGGCACAGTAAGGGGTACAGCTGGTGCATCTACCGGTCATCTCAGTCAGTTAACCCATGGCACCTGGTGACCTGCCAGCGAGCCTTCAACACTTCACATGGCGTCAAAGTGCACCTGGCCTGGCAGAGGCGCCGTCACTTAGTGGCGAATGGCGGGTATTGGTATTGCTTCGGCTTGATGTGTGACGCAACACCGAATGGCAAGCGGCTTCACGTAAAATTACAGCAGATAGATAAAAAAGGTAACAACGCAAACCTGCGCAGAATGTATTTCTGGTCCTCGTGTTTGGGAATCAAGGTTATACATCGAAATGTAATTACGTTCCATGTAATTTATTTTATTTTAGTTTGTTGTATTGAAATGAAAACATATTTCTAAACAAGCCTGTAAATGGAAAATTGACTTCTATAGTATGAGAGTTTGTGCATGTGATACCACCAATGTCAGCATTGTCATAATGCCAGGAATATAAATTGCGCATGAGTATTGGCTGTGGGTATGACATGCCAGCTGCACGTGAAGAGCCACACGCTGCTGTCTCGCTTACACATCATGCCTTTACTGCCTTCATGTGTCCTTGTACAGGGACAGTGGACGGTACCAGTGGCGCCCTGCAATTGCCTGCCCACAACCACTGTTGGTGGAAGGACCTCGACGGGAGGGAATACTGGAGAGGCCCTTTTGAGAGTCCATCTAGGGGGTATTTGGCCTACTCTTCCACGTTATCCAGACATCTCTGAAGAGGTGTGAGAACACGTACGGGACCTGCCAGGTGACGAACTGGTCTGCCCATATCTAATACTAGGTGGATAGAGACGGTTGTTATTAATGACCTTGCCCGATTCTTCAATTTCCATGCCGGGAGGTTAAACTGGCGACCTCTGGTTTGCACTGTGGCAGAATTCCTAAAAAAAGGGCAAGACCTACAACTATTCGAACAGTTTTTGTTGTTGTTTTAAATGTGGTATTTTTTTTTAGACGCTCGTGCAAGGTAAACATTCGTAACATCCGACCAGAGGAGCGAGCTTTGTTTACCAAGCTTGGACCGTTGTGCCGGACGGGATGTTATTCTGAGTGGAAATAACAAGTTATTTCGAAAGTTGCGCTCACAAACAACAATACACGTGAAGAGTTGAAGTGACATAACCACGCTCAATTGTAGGCCGGGGATTTCATAAACACGCTAACGTTCAACGCTGCTTTCCAACTGTGGATTTCTTCACAACTCTGACTGTCGCCTGATCATGCTGATTTTAATTACTAGCTATACGTCGTGCTGGAATTGTAAATGTTGTGAGTTTTCTCTCGAACACACCGATGTGCTGAACTAGTAGCTTATTGACATATTTTGTTTACGTGACACACCTTACTAATTGGCTGTGTCAGGTGGTGGCGGGTTTAACGACACATTTATATTTACGCGATCTAACAAAAACAAACCTCTATTATGGCTGCTTTCGAAATTCGTTAAGTTCGCAAAGAGCGGAGGATGGTCACCAATGACACCGGTTGAGGTTGGCTTTTAATTTAGTACTGGCAGCTCGTGCATTTGGTGATGTGAAACACTTGGACCCGAGCACGATATTTGGCTGTACATAGGACAGCATGAAGTCCAGCTCTTTAAAAGTAAATATTTTGGCAAACATTAAAACAAAATTACACGATTGCATCAGGGACTATCGTTTTTCTCTGAAATGGAATGTTGCAATCGTGTATTGATAGTTAAATATTAAAAGGGGCACAAATATTATTTTTAACCAAATATTATGGTTGCCTTCAATGGTGCACTTTGCTTGGTCGTCCTATGGTAGCCATACACTGAACAAACAATGTTTCAACCATGATTGTAAAATGTCCTGCTTGGGGCAGGATTGCTAATATCTGAAATGGAGTTCCAATTGGGCCCTCCCCACGCCGCACGGAGTGGGGAGGGTCTCGTCCAGCAGTGGATTGTCAAAGGGGCTGCAAAAATAGGAATCTATTTTTGCTTCGTATCAACGTGCAGTCTGGCCACGATTTGTGGATGTGTGCTTGCTTAGTGCGGGCACAGATGGAACGTCTTCCAAGACGGACCCATTGCTCACTCCACTTGCCTCTGAAGGCTGACAGCAGGCATTCGGCGAGGGCGTGTTTGTTTCTCTGGAAGGAACATGATGTTGCTGTGCCGAAGGGATTTTACATACAAACCATGCTGGTCACATTGCATTTGGTTTGGTTTTCAAACAATCCGTACGCCCCCTCCCAGCGGGACTCCATAAATTCAACCTGCCGCGACAAGGTGGTGTGCGTTCTCTATTAAGGGGAACAGAAATCTGCACTAAATCAGAAGTTGTCTCGCCAGTTTTAATGCAGGTGATTTACCGCAGCCGAGCAATGGGTCAGCGCGTGGTCACTGCAGCGAATTTTAAAAACAATCAGGTCACACGTGGCAAGCTGCCTGTAACTTGTCACGCCGCGGTCACGCCAGACATCCCCGGAACGCATTGTGATGTTTAACTACCTGAAAGTGTTCATAATTTACCGTCGCGCGGACTGTAAACAGAACGCGCTCGCTCGCCGCAGAGCACCGGACTTATTTCTCAGGATTTCTGAGGATTGTGCAATTGTTGCAAAAAATACTCGGGGGGTCATTGGCTCCCAGTGTTGCATGGCCCGAGCTTGCTGTCCACACTGAGGCAGGGGAGAGGTGGTGCCCAAACAGGTTGTTAAGCTAAACTGTCCGCGCGATGCAACCACGGTATGTTTTTGCTTTTGTTGGCGTCAAGGTTGGAGCTGTGCTCGGTGTGTGGCGCTTCGCTTACGAAGGCAACACGTATGTAGTTCGGCAACGTCGAGTGCAGGAAGAAGACTCGCACGATGTCATTACGGATTACTCGCATTTAAATGTGCCATCGTATGGATCGAGCTTGACCAGCAAGCACTCGCCTATTAAACCGATAACGGCATTTGCATGTCAACGTTCTTATTTTCCCGTCAAGATAACGAGGGTGATTGTATTCTGGAGCATCGTGTGGCAGGGTGACGTTGCGCAGATGATGTTTACTGGGCCCTGATCGTGAGATGCCCAGCGGTGCTGTGTCCTTGCTGGTGTCGCGTGTGAAATTCGAGCTGCGTGTGCCATGGAAGATATTTTTTGTTTGTGCACATTTATTTTCTTACAGAGTTCCGCTTGACAAGATAGAGAGAGCGCGGCCGTTCTGCTTTCCAGAAACAGGCGCTGGCCCTACTGGCGGTGACCGTCGTAAACTGTTGAACCACGGCACCATCGGTTTATGACGCACTAACACACTAATTAAACCTCTTGCTCGAGACTTCTGATAGTGAAGCATATACAGAGGGCGCCTGCAGCTGGTGCTCATGGTTTGTTTGTTTTCACGTGGGCCTTGTCCAGCCATTAACTCGCTGCACTGTGCCAGATCTCTAATTCCAGAATATCCATTGCTGATTAGACATGCAGCTCTTTCGTCAATCCACTGCTGGGTGAGGGCCGCCTGACACCATGTGGGTTGTGGAGGCTATTGAACCATACCTCACCACGCTGGTTAGCGCGGATTGGTGAAGATAGATGCTGGAATATTACAGTACAACACAATCATGTGTTTATGCTGCCATCTGCTCACACCATCGTCACACAGCAGCCAAGAACATCTGATCTTATAAATGGTGGTTGCCCATCCAAGTACTATCCAGGCAGAATCTTGCTTAGCTCCTGAGCTTGAATTGTTAATAGGCCCTGGCTCGGGGATTGGGCTATTTTCAGGGTTTTCTTGAAGAGCGCGAGTATTTGTGCCTCCTATACCAGAGGGAGAGCTGATGGTAGAGGTGGGTGCGTAGAGTGTTGTACAATCTGCACCGTTATCCAAGCAGACGTGTGACGGCACGCAGCTTCGTGTTGTGATTGTGTGCACGGTCCTATCAGACCTGGACGGCACCGTCTGAGCGCGCGCTTCTAAATCATTTGCGTCGGTGCGTGCGGGTGGCGCGGAATCCTTTCGATCGGAACATTGCCTGCGACGGGGGTTCGACTCGTTCCACTAACCGTGGAACTCACCTGATGTCATCCTGGCGCCACGTTCACCGCCGCTCTCAAATCTGGGCATGCGATCGTGTTTACTTGAGCTTCCTCCTAGGGCGACTCCTGCGATTTGTCTGAACAATTTGAAGCCCCCCCCCCCCCCTTCCTCCCTCTGCATTAAATCATGCCGCTGACTTGGAAACGTCTTGTCGGAAACACATGGGCCTCATGTGGCCCGAAAGCCTTCACGGTTTGGTGTATTTAAGCGCTATTTCTATTTATTTCGCCCACTTCATTGTGAATGCAAACCCAGTTCGCCTGCCGCAATCCACCGCGGGCTTCTCTTTGTGCGTCGCGCCGCAGCTCGCGACTGCAAAGCGCTCACCTCATTTGTCCCCCCCCCACCAACCGACCCCGTCTGGCGCTGCAAACGCCTTCAGCTGCAAACACCTTTGAATCTTAAGTCGGAAAACATTGCATTACTTCGCACAAATACAAAACGCACGACTCTGTAGGAGCCTCTGAGCCTCTGCAATTTGCATAAAAAGGTTCCCCGACAGAGCGAGCTGCCCTGTGCGCACCACACGGAGAGCGCCCGGCAAACACCGAGTCCGATCGTCCAACGCCTGAAGATTCTCACGCCGCTAGTTGCCTCCAAGCGGCACGTTGCCGCCGGCTCGAGGTCAGGAACCCGGAGCGGCACTTTAAGATGACTGGTGAGCTAATTGACATCGTCGCAGAGATCCCGTGCGGGACACAACTCAGGGCTCCATTATCGGCACGTTCGCATTTTACGGTAGCGCCGAGTATTGATTTGTTTTACTGCGGAGAGGATAGATTGCATTTCTGTCACCGTGTTAGGAGACCGCTGTATTTCCTGGAAAGTTAGGGGGGTGTGCAGCGACTTTTTTTTTAAGCGATTGGACAAAATGTACATACATCTCAATGAGGCGGGTGTATGTTTCTTGTTGTAAAGATTTGATATATTTTAATCCAACAGCTGTTTCCACATATTTGACATTGTCTCTGCCATTATTCCATCTGGTGCAGAAGGTTCCATTTGGTAACCTCTTTAGGAAATACATCTGGGCCATCCTCCTCCTCATCTAAATTATAATTAGTTTCCTGGGGGTATATAATATTTTTGCTCTACTGAGAGTCATATAATCTTGCGATTATATGACTACCGGATGTTGTAGCTTATTCTCCCCTTCTGAGCACGTGTTTATTTCATTTATATATTTAATTATTTTAAAATACCCCAAAGGCATGAAATTATTCCTCAATCAGTCTACTATTCAAGAAGGAAGCCAATCTTTATTTGAATAATTTCAGACAGATTATACTCTTATCACGCACATATCAACTGGATTTAAGATCATAGACCGTTGAATAATGATTCGTTTCAAAGCCAGTCAACTGTGAAAGCAAAGCAGTTTTTTTTCAAAGATGCATCTCCCATTAACCAATATACACTGTCCATCGGATTCTGGAACAGACTTCTGAATATTAAATACTAAAAATAATTGCTTTCGTCACCCGCGTTTGGAACTATTTAAAAGCACTCGGCAGCCATGGACGGTCTCTCGAATGCGATCCATTTCTTGGCTGCAGCTCCACCATGAGTCTTGACCATCGGGCCACATCCCTCACTGAGACGTGTGCCGTGTGACAGACGAAGATGAGATCATATTTAATGAGCAGTCAACGCAGTGCAGGAGAGTGTCCCACGAATGCAATATTCATGCGCGTCTCGTATTAATGTTGAAGTTTTCGGCAAAGCCGAATGCAAATGACTGTTCTGATTTCAGTGGAATGTAGGGCACACGGGCAGTAGTCACGAGGGCCATTGTGCTCGCGCTGTGCCTGGCCGTGTGTGCGATTGAAAAGGGAGCGCTCCATGCCGTTCGCCACGATCGCAGTGTTGCGTGTGGATCGCGCCGTCCCCATGCGCCTGTTTTGTTCGTTGTCAGAGCTCTGTTGTTCGGTATTTTAGTCCGGTGGTGACGGAAGGGAGGTGGGGAGCATGGGGATTATCTGAGCGGCGGTGACGAGAGGAGAGGAAGACGCTGCGACGTTGGTTGACGAGTCGCCAGTCGCCTCCCTCGGGACAGTTTTTCTAGAAATGGAGCCATCGTTCAGACAGAGATTCAAATAAATAATGAAAGCAAGGCGGCGAGAGAATGGAGCAATTAATAACTTGATGGAGAAGTATGCGGTGTTTACACAGCTGATGCGCTGGCTCAAGCCAGGTGAATACCTTGGGTGGAGGTGCGCGTATGCGCACATGCGCGCACCTCCAACCAAGGTATTCAAAATGCCTGCTTATTTATACACACGCATGTGTGAGACATGCGTGTGTATAAATAAGCAGGCATTTTGATGTTGGCAAGCCGCGGGGCTCACACTGAGAGCGGGCAGGTTAGTGTTTTCTAATTCTTTCTGCAAGCGTGTCCGAAATGGGTCCTGTAGCGAGCACTGTTTAACCTGGCAGACCGCGCGCAAGCGTGAATGTGTGTGTGACGTGTGTGTGTGTGACGTGTGTGTGTGTGCGTGTGACGTGTGTGCGTCTGTGTGTGTGACGTGTGTGTGTGGCGTGTGTATGTGACGTGTGTGTGTGTGACGTGAATGTGCGTGTGTGTGACGTGTGTGTGTGTCGTGTGTGTTTGTGTGACGTGTGTGTGTGACGTGTGTGACGTGTGTAACGTGTGTGTGTGTGTGACGTGTGTGTGTGACGTGTGTGAGCGTGTGTGTGACGTGTGTGTGACGTGTGTGTGTGAGACGTGAGTGTGTGGGAGAGAGACGTGAATGTGTGTGTGATGTGCTTGCTAACAGCACTTGCCCCTACAGTATGTTAAGGCTATACGGGTGATCTTTGTCTTTGTGTGTGACGTGTGTGTGTGTGACGTGTGTGTGTGTGACGTGTGTGTGACGTGTCTGTGTGAGACGTGAGTGTGTGGGAGAGAGACGTGAGTGTGTGTGACTGTGTGTGTGTGTGACGTGTGTGTGTGTAACGTGTGTGTGTGAGACATGAGTGTGTGTGTGATACGTGAGTGTGTGTGTGAGACGTGAATGTGTGTGTGTGACGTGAATGTGTGTGTGTGAGACGTGAATGTGTGTGTGACGTGAATGTGTGTGTGTGAAACGTGAGTGTGTGAGACGTGAGTGTGTGTGTGTGAGACGTGAATGTGTGTGTGTGAGACGTGAGTGTGTGTGTGTGACGTGAATGTGTGTGTGTGAAACGTGAGTGTGTGAGACGTGTGTGTGTGAGACGTGAATGTGTATGTGAGACGTAAGTGTGTGTGAGACGTGAGTGTGTGTGAGTGAGACGTGAATGTGTGTGACAGAGACATGAATGTGTGTGTGTGAGACGTGAATGTGTGTGTGTGAGACGTGAATGTGTGTGACAGAGACGTGAGTGTGTGTGAGTGAGACGTGAATGTGTGTGACAGAGACGTGAATGTATGTGTGTGAGAGAGACGTGAGTGTGTGAGACGTGAGTGTGTGTGACTGTGTGTGTGTGACGTGTGTGTGTGTAACGTGTGTGTGTGAGACATGAGTGTGTGTGTGATACGTGAGTGTGTGTGTGAGACGTGAATGTGTGTGTGACGTGAATGTGTGTGTGTGAGACGTGAATATGTGTGTGTGACGTGAATGTGTGTGTGTGAAACGTGTGTGTGAGACGTGAGTGTGTGTGTGTGAGACGTGAATGTGTGTGTGTGAGACGTGAATGTGTGTGTGTGTGTGACGTGAATGTGTGTGTGTGAGACGTGAGTGTGTGTGTGTGTGAGTGAGACGTGAATGTGTGTGTGTGAAA